CCATTTCCAGTTAATTTTTCACTGTTTATGCACTATTCTAATTTAGTCTGTGCAGCATCCACACAGAATCTTTTGTAAATGTTTGTTTTCACCATAGTCAGGACAAATGGAACCTTCAAAACTGGTCACTAATAATTGTGTGCCTTGCTTAATGCAGTCACTTTTGCTTGCCATCCAGTCAGTTGCATCAATTACTTGTAAAATAAAGATGGATTTTTTTTCTTCCTCTGAACATACTTGTGTGACAGTTTTCCGCTTGCATACTTGTGAAAAGGGATTCCTTATCTGACTGCCCTAAACATTTGATGTGTTCATGAGATTTGTTTAGTTTTTTGCAATGGAGTGGCTTTGTTTTAATGGGCTTTTAGCTGCAATAAATGAAGAAAGACAGTTGTGTATAACATTAAAAGCGGTGTGGGCCATCTTTTCAGTCTTACTCAAACTGCCATGCAAATGTCTCAAGATTTTTTCCGATAGGTTTCAACTGCAGTTTGACACATTCTTGCTGTTTGTTTGTTTGCCCTCATTCATGCTCTTCATTTTCAGCTGAGGATTGCGTCGCGGATGAGCCTGATAACTTCATTGTCCCTATAGCGGTGGGAGTTGCCCTGGCTGTCCTCATTGTTATTGTCTTACTGGCCTATCTGATTGGAAGAAAGAGAAGTCAGACCTCTGGCTATGAGCAGTTTGATTCGTAATATTAATCGGAGTATGCAAATTCTGGCTAATCTAGCAATATTTCAGAGATCAAGTCATTTCGGTTTATGTACACAAATTCTTTTGTCTCATATTTCAAATATTAGTACATTATGTAATGTGGTGATTTATAAGGTAGGCCTGTATGGCACATAATACAATGCCTATTCTCCATCGAGCTGACTGAATTGTGAGTCCTGTTGTGATTAACAATCTTTTGAGTGCCTAACAGTACCGTGTTATTTCCTCACTCACTCACTCACCCTCCCTCCCTTTCTTTCTCCCTTTCTCCCAGCGGAGGAATGCTTTCTGGATTCTGATTTGAGTTTTCTCGTGCCCATTGCTGTGGGTGTGGCTCTCAGCTTCCTAATCATCCTAGTGCTTATCTCTTACCTGATTGGTCGGCGGAAGAGTCGCACTGGTTACCAGTCTGTATAACAACCCAAGCTGTTGCCGTCTTGCCTCTAACCCCGGCTTGTCCTTTACCATTTATATTTGCTCCTCCTCCTCTCTCTTCTGGTCCTGTTGGCTTACTCTTTTATCCTGCAAACTGCTCGACCCCCCCCCCCACCTGGCAGCACTAACCGCTGATGAGACCCCTATTTCTAACACGTTCGATTGCATAATTATATCTCTGAGCTCTAATTCCTCTTATGGGAGTTTTGGTTTTTCTTGCTCCAAGGATGCTCAGTTCTGGTTGCTGTGACTTGTATTCATGTGAACTCTTGTTATGAATGAGTGATGCAATTTTAGAATTGGGAGTTTTTTTTTTTTTTAAGTTTATTAACCATTGAATGTAAATGCTCAATTAGTTCTGTAATTGTACTCTCGTGGATCAGTTGTTGCCGAAATTAGGGGTGAAAAGTATCCTGGCGTATTTTCTTTTCTTAATCAGCCGAGCTAATGATAAGTCTCACTATTGCACTTAGCACATTGTATTATAAAGGGACTTTTTTTTTTTTACATTTACCAGCATCGAATATCAAGATTTTGTTGATCTCATTAGGTCCCTCTCAGGGAATGTTAGAAGTGTTATGATAGGCTTGTTAGTACATGGGTTTGTCGAATATATATTTTTTTTGTCATTTTCTCTGGACACATGCAAACAATGTACAAAATCCACCTTTTCTAAGACCAAAGCTACAAGTTCCTGTGTATGTTCAGTCTGCGCTGCATAGTGACGATAATCCCCCCCCCCCCCCCAAAAGAATTTAGCTATTAAAACGAACACAAAGAAAATGTTGTACTAGTGTGCCTTTTAGTTACATTTCTTTGTTCCTTCTCTGTAGGGCCTTAATCTGTCAGGTTAGGAATGTTGGTTCCAGTTTCAAAGTGGGGGAAAAAAACTTCAATAAAATGGCCTTTTTTTTTTTGTACAGTAGTCTCCCTCTCTTTTTGTCCTCTCACTCTGATCCGTTTAAGAATTTCAGCAGAACATGTTGATTTTCATATGTTAGGCCTGAGGTGTTCAGCAACTAGCTAGTTTTACACGATTCGCATGACTCGCAGTCGTAACCTCTAGCTTCCATTGATGTACTTGGATCAGCAGTGTTGCTATAAATGTTACTGATGCATCTGTTACTAGAATACTAGAAGCATCTTACTTGGACCTGCATATTACAGTAAGAGCTGCCTATTACTGAATGCGCACGACTGCGTTTGAATTAAGTCATGTTTTTCCTTCAAAAGATTGTGAAGTTACATTTTGTCATTTATTCTAAGTGACCATCTCAAGCAGTTTATCATTGTAGACAATCTCATGCATATCACAACTGATTTGTTGTTTTTCAAGAGAATGGAAAAGTGAGCAGAGGTTTGATTCCGTTAATTCTCATCCATCTTTATTGTTTATGCTAAAACATGAGTGCGTTTAAAAACATGAGCTGGCAAATCTTTGTCAGCAAGTGGATATTTCGATGCATTTACTGAATAACAAAGATGTGCAGTTACCAATTTCTGTTTCACTATTACACTTTGTAACTGTTTTGTACCATGTCAATATATTCATATACAATTAATAAATAATACTGTTGAAATCCTCCTTACAGGCAATTGAGCAGATAGTTTCACTCGGAGATGAATTGTGACTCTCTATTTAGTTTAAGAAGTGTTGGTTGCATGATTGACAAAAGAAAGATCAACTTGTATTTCATTAAGAAGCTTTGTGAAAATGGATGAAATGGGATTTCTATCCCGCATTTCAGTAAAATACATTTGCCTCTGAATTCAAAATTTAGTTGCACATCCAAAAAAAAGGAAAGAAAATTTTAGTCCAAAAATGTACAATCGATTATTAATTCTAAACCACATCTGATTATTTAATTAAATGAGAAAGCAAAAGGATATGTTAAGCAGTTTTCGGCCTTTTTCTTCATCCAGAGGGGGAATTGAAAGGAGACTGGCTTAACGGAGAAAAATCATTAAAAGTATTTGTTCAGTTTTAATTTGTGTTATACACATCTGACTTAGCAAACTGATCAAAAAGGTTTAATAAATGTTAATTCTACAATCTACACGGATCTAGAGAATTGTTTTGCCTACATCTCACTGTAGACCATACGTTTGAGTGATTATGCCTCAATAGCTATAATTGCGACCTAAATACTGTATTTGGACATCTTTTCATATTTCATTTGATCCTATAATGAAATCCAGGCAGGTGTCAGTCTCTAGCGGCTGATCTATAAATGAATCTATGAATCTCAGTCTTTGCTTACTGGGAAATTCCTTGTTTGAAAAAGTAGTGTAGTAACACAGCTCTTGACGTGCGTAGCGCAGTGGCTGCCGGAGGCATAATCAGAGGGCTAATGGGTAAAGACAACACCCAGTGTGCTATTTCATTTATTATAACATACTCTGAGAATTTTAATTTCAATTTCTCTAGGTTTACTGCCATCCTATGCGCCCACTTGTAAAGTGAAAGACACACTACCCAGGAAACGGTCGGTTGGTGAATCGTTGATGATGCCCCTCCCATTTAGTTTGCATTGAATGTGTAGTTGGGTGTCATACGGGACACTGGGAAAGTGCACAGCCACCAGCGGGGAAGAGTAGTTTACCTGTTGGTGGAAATAGTGAGAAATTATATTAAATCATGAGGAATTCTGGGATAAATGTTAAGTAGGATCACTCACGTGTCTCAGTTTCCCATAATAGGGATAGTACCGCAAGTTGAAGATATTTTCTGGAAAAAACTGGACTTCTCCGAGACCTTCAGTTGACCCTTTCTGGAAAAACATTGGAGAAATCCAAAATGACAAATACTGCAAAGAAACTGGGTTATTTTAGTTACTAGTCATTCGTTGTTACCTTAACTCCACATGTAACATGTACTGGAGTGCCTTGACCAGGCAGATACCCGAGAATCTGTCACAACAGAAAACAGTCAAGTGTCTGACATATCACTAAAAATTCTATTTAAATTTGTTCATTTAGTCATTGCTTATTTTAACCACAAGATGGCACTAGAGCTTCAGAGCTTTATTTATTCTTTTTTGGAGAGGTTTTGTTCTTCAAACAAAGAATAATTGAAGAGTTCAGATGCAAAAGCCTCTAAGTGCCATTTGACATTTTCTTCTAAAATGAGCATTTCTCAGGCTCCTATGTGTAGGTTCAGTAATTTCACTTTAATGGCAATGAATAGTTTTTTTTTTAAATTGCCATTCAAGTGAAATAACTGAACGTAAACATAGGAGCCTGAGAAAAATAATTTTAAAAGACAATTTCAGACAGAACTTAGAGGCTTTTGCATCTTAATTCTTCACTTGTATATTATATTATAATCTCACCCGATTCATTTTGACGAGGATGCAGGGTTTTCCCTTTGAGTAGCCAAAATCTTTGTCCTTCATGCCGGAGCATTCACCCAGCCAGGACCTCTTAAACTGACATGCCTTGCGCTCGGCACTCTCCTCTAAGTCATCTTGCATGAAATATGTATTTCCTTCGCAGTTAATGTTCCGCCTATCCTGCACTCCATCGTCATAGGCTGAACGCAGCCACGGCGGGAAACCGTAATAAAAGAGATGGAAGAGAGAAAAGAGAGAGAGAGGGACCATAAAATAACCAAACAATGGCTGTTGCCCAGCCTGGCCCCTACAACTTACAGGCCAGCACAAAAAGTGGGGCCCTGGCAGCTCTGAGCAGTTACACTGAGTGCACAAAAGGGTTTCCCTCCTTGTCAGTATTTCTATAGACTGCAGGACTTGTTAATCAGCATGCTGGAGTGATTTGAATCTGTGCCCGCTGAACAGAAAACGTATCTTCCCTATTAAAGTGTGTAAGACCAAACTCAATAAGCTTAGTTATTCTCTCATCCAGGACTTACATTTCAGATGGGCTTCCAGTGCTTTCGCATACTTCCTCCACGAGCTTCGGTCAGAGGCGTTGAAAGCAACATCAAACCCATGAGCTACATCTACATGAGGAAACATTGTCATACCTGCCGGGAGAAAGACAAGATTTTGAAGTGTAGTGAAAAAACAGGAATAACAGTGTTATATTTTATAATAATTATATATTATTTTATATACTTATTTAAATTAATTTTATTTTTAAATGAAAAAATATATATATATATATTTTTTTTTAAATAATATTAATTTAAAATGATTTACTATTGTAATTTTAAATCATCCATCCATTCTCCAAACCGCTTATCTTCCCTTAGGGTTGCGGGATTTTAAATAATACATTTTAGATTAATTTATATGAAAAATAAATACAATTTTAAAAAGATTTACACAATTATTCAGCTTTTTTCCCATACTCTTTGAATATTCACAAAGTAAAATGCAATTTTTTTCCAACCTGGTGGCATCACTCTGTCATTGTAGGTGGGAGCATATGGACTAATTGACCACATCAGGCAGCACATACAACCAGCAAACATAGCCGCAAGGAAAATGTATAATGCTGAGTAGAAGAGCAGAATAAGGCCTGAAAAAGATAAGAAAATATTGATGAGTAAAGCAGGATTGCATTGATGAAACCTCTTGTAAATCACTGATTTACATAAGGAGTTAGTCCATTGAAATGCACACACCATCAGGTTGATACTGTTTTTCATATAGGAATTTATTTCTTATGTATTATTGATTTAGTTGACCATTCAAATACTAAACCTTATATTAATCATTCATTCACAATAAACTTTTCATAGTGTTCAAAACACTCAAGTCAATGAAACTTATATGAGACCCAGCAAAAACCGGAGTGCAGCAACTTTCAATTAAGAGTTCATTAGCAGCTGATCAAATGGGACGTGCCGTCAAACTAAACGGCTTTTGCTGCGCAGACAATTTCGCAGGGACTAGCTGCAGCCCATCTTGTGTCCCCCAACCACAAAGGCCTTTCTGTTTGAGCCTGGTGAAAATTCTCCCAGCTGTCCTTTCACTCAGGAACACAGTGAACCTCCGGTTGCCATCACAGTGACGGTCTTTTGCAGCCATATAGAGCCACAGCCAGCTCCAAGGAGCCCGATCACCCCATTCTGGCATTGTGGGGCCTCTGCACTCTCCTTTCATGGGACATGCATCACAGCCCTCCAGCAGCCCCTCCCCTGCGCTAAGGAAGACTATGGCTGTTTATTTAATCCACCTCCAGCACATTCCCCATCATATCATGCCCATGTAAAGCATAGAGATGTTGCATTACGACAAACGCTCAACACGGGATATTGGTGCGTTGAGATTTCCCTCTGTATCCCCAGGAAACCTTCATATTGCTGTTTAGAGCACTCGTCCCGAATTTGCTGTGTTGCTTAGCATCGGGATGTTTAGCAGCAGCGATTGGCTGCTCTGTCCGCGTCAGACGTCTTCAGGAAATGCTCGCTGCCAAAAAAGTTCTGAGCTCGGACAAAAAAAGGCTACATGTTAAGTTGTGCCGTAGATCTGAGAGCGTGTTGGAGGAGATCTGGAGGTCAAGGGGGCTTTGGGAAAGAGGGAGAGGAACGCACGGTAGGGGTAAATGGAATGTGATCCCGGGCCAGCGAAGGGACTGTGACATTCGCTCTCCCACTGAGGACCGTTCCCCAGGCAGTCTGTTTTTGTCAAGATGTCTCTAAGCTATCTGTGCACCTATGTAAACACTAAGTTTGGACATGCACACACACACACACACATGCACCCACAGTGACAGAGTGTACATGCACACACACTTGAGCGAGCAGAAGCACAGTTCATCACCCCTCATCCCCGCAACTCATTCCCATAACTCCACTAAAAATGGAAAATAATGAGCAAAAACAATAAGCAATAGTCTCACTTGCCTTTGCTTCTACGGCGAGACTAAACATCACTAATTAAAGACTTAGTTTACAGTCCAAGTACAATTTGGATGCACTCCCTCACCCACAGACAAATGCCCTTTGTTTTGCCATTGAAACGGGTATCTTGTTGTGTACATTCAAAATAATTTTGTCTTGTTACTCACTCCAGCTCTTCCCCGAGCGGCCCATAAACTCCTTAGTCTCTGCGTTCCACAGGTAAGTCTTTAAGTCGTCGATTTTCTCATGCAGCGTCCTCTTGGGCTTAGGCTTGGGCTTCCATTTCTCAAAGTTAAGGTCATCCTGCTCCAGAGGCTGATGTTCTACCAGTCCTTCTTGTTCCACTTCCATGGCCTCAGCTAGTTCGTGTTTGTGAAGTGATCCTGCACGCTAAACACAATATGGAAAGCTAATAAATAACCACGTTCTGAATCACAGTAAAAAAAGACCACTTAAAAACTCACTTTAATGTAGATGGTATTGTCTCTTAAAGACAAAGGAAAGGCTAGGAGAAGGGTTAGACAAATATTTCTCTTCAAAAAAGTGAAAAGCGAGTGCATGAAAGCAGTGTGAATGAAAGACGCTTCACAATCCCATTGATCTAAGAGAGGCAGAAGAAGACCCACACACTCGCTGACCCATGTTGGGAGATCTAACCTCTCACAGCTGCACAAGATCTGCAGGGTCACTCTTCAGCCAGATGTTACACACTCATTCTCAATATCAAGACACACATAAAATGTGCTTTTAAAGCTGGAAACAATAAAGACCACTTAAAAACTCACTTTAATGTAGATGGTATTGTCTCTTAAAGACAAAGGAAAGGCTAGGAAAAGGGTTAGACAAATATTTCTCTTCAAAAAAGTGAAAAGCGAGTGCATGAAAGCAGTGTGAATGAAAGACGCTTCACAATCCCATTGATCTAAGAGAGGCAGAAGAAGACCCACACACTCGCTGACCCATGTTGGGAGATCTAACCTCTCACAGCTGCACAAGATCTGCAGGGTCACTCTTCAGCCAGATGTTACACACTCATTCTCAATATCAAGACACACATAAATTGTGCTTTTAAAAACTGTAAAGCTGGAAACAATGAGGGTTCAGTATGTTAGCATGAGTTAATGCAATCATTAACTAACAATGAAAAAGAATATTTAATCCAGGTTAATGTTAATTTCTATATAGAAACATTTCAAGTTTCATAAACATTTACTATACTGTATTGTGAATGAGCATGACATATAAATTGTTTGTGATACCTAATGCATTAAATAATGTTAATTCAATCTTAATGTAATATGTTGCCATAAAACTACTTTTTTGACAGGAAATTGAATTAATATTTACCTGTCATATTTGTTATTTAATATGACCGATTCAACCTGCTTACATCAATAAAATGCATTTACTAGCTACAATATAGCAATAGGTCTAATGTAATATATTTAGTATATTAATGAATAATTGCCCATATTAATTGACCTAAATAATGATGAGCAGGTGAAAAACTTGGGTGACATAGTTTTACTGTACCAGTAATGAATTAAAAAATTGATACTAGACCAACAATTGGGTGATAGCCTACCCTACTATTATACAGTTTACTATTATATATTGTACCGAGCACTAAATCCAGCAAGGTATGGTCATTACAATGCCCTAATCAAAAGTAACCACATAACTCTGGTGCATTATGGTTATGGTCACTTGCCAGTTTTGAAACTGTGTCTTCCAGGAGCAGGTCCTCCGCCCCTCCCGCGGTAGAGTCGCGCTCCATGATCTCTCACTGAAGAATAAAGGTACTTGTTAAACCAATCACATATACGAGCGGTCCAGGCGGTTTACTGCGAGATTTCAGTCCCCGAATAAAGTCTGCAGCAGTCCAGGAAAGTCAAATACTGTGTGAAATAATTGTTCAGACTTTTTTTTATGCCTTTTTTAAAAAATATGAAGAAGATGAGGGAATATTTCGACGTCTTCTGTAAAGAAAAATGGGGAGGGGGGGAGTCTTAGGAAAAAACTTTTATATTTAAAGTGCCCCCCAAAATAAAGTCTTGATGATTGCACTGAGGCGATGTCTTCAGGTTCACTGCACGCTGGCTGCACAAACGTTAATTCTGGTCAAGAAGTGTTCTTGAATTTCATTGAGTTTTCTCCTTACAGCGGATGTCGGATGCGGAGGAGCTTCTCGCTAGGAGTCGAGCATCATAGTGAATGGAGTTGAGCTGGAGAGGGAAAGTGGGGGTGGGATACAAAGTGGAGTTTTTTTGGCAGCAGCTTCGTTTAGTGTTGTGTGGAATTCTGCACACGCACACCACACAGTCTCATTGTCTGCTGAAACAAGCTCTATGCAAAGACCAACAGCTTTATAAGTTTCTGTTCTGATCTACATTTGCCGTTGTCAATCACTAAGTACGGCATCAGCAACCACATTAGAACAGTGAGGTTTAGTATGCAGGACCCTTCACCAAACAATCCCCATTGACTCGCTGGGCTGTTAAACTGGAGAGCGTATTCACGCGCATTACATAATGCATTAAAGAGACGAACGCAAAATGGTGAAATATGTGCCAGCTTTGTTCTGCGTTGGCGTCAAAAGCGTAATAAATTCACAAAGTTGACATCAAGCTTAATATTTGTACACAGATCACGTTGAGCTCGGTGAACCCACTGATTTTTTTAAACCTGAAAAGAAATCGCGTCATGGAAAATTCGGTCTTGTCTGGTTCTTTCTGCTTTCTTTGGTGAAGAGCAGGTCATTCAAAGAAAGACCATCAAGGACTGAAACGAGCAGATGCAATCATTTACTTTGAGACAAAACTGGGCTGGAGGAAAAGAGATCAATATATTCAATGTAGCGTTTTATTTCCTTCCATTTTTACACAAACAAGCAAACACTTAAGTAGTAGCCTAGTGAATGCTCGTTTTGGTAAAAAATTAAAGGCGATATAAAAATCCATTAACTTCTATTCAGTTACATTTACTTAAATACAACCAGCCTTTATGAAATAGGCCTATGTTGCTGTGGGAGCAGCAATTAGCATAATGTGTTACCATAAAACTAAGTAGGACTCAAACTATGCCTGTAACTGCACACCCATTTTGAACTCTGCAACACATGATATATACTTTCATTTATGTATGTGTGTGTGTGTGTGAGAGAGACTAAGAAAGAGATACATCAATATAAACAATGGGTGTGCTATACACGAGGAGCCTGGTGTATGTCAATTAGATCTCAAGCTGCACGAGCGAACCATAAAATAAACAAAAATGCAAGTAAAAAAAATGGGAGGGGGGGACTTGAGAACTTTTTTTAAACTCAGGAACTTTGATTTTGATTTTCAAACCTTTTGTGTTTATATTCACCAACTACCTGATGATGGCGCAGTTTCATTACTTTAATATTGCTTCTAGTTCTGAGACTTTCAAAATAGCCATTTTTGTAGAAAGATTACACAAAGTATTATTTTATAGATTATATTGAATGTTCTTAAAGCATTTTCGTGTTAACCAACCAAATTACGTTTTCTTTAGATATTCTCAGACTACTTTCTGTGTGTAAATGTAGCAGGTAAAATAATCTGCGAAACGCGAATTTCTCTATAAAACGTCGTGAATATATGCAGAACTGTTTAGAAATTTGCTATGCAGTCCAGCAACTGCATACAAGAACCTGTATGGTTTTAGTCGTTCTTTGGAATTCTGTTTAAGTTCTAAATGACTTTAGTTTTTATAAACTGAATCACGGCTGCAAACTGATTGGAAGGAAGCATGAAATTACAAACACCCTTAAGTAATAAACAGCCATTTGTGACATGCACGAATTGCACATGACTTCACTTGAACGTTTAAAGCGTGCTACGTGCATTCAGGGACGACCTCTGAATCTATTTTTGAACAGGTAGGTTTCTTCTGAAACGGACTGCTCGAAAGAACCGAATCGCAATGACTCACTCTTCCGACCCACAGCGAGCGGGTCTGCCTTGCGCATGCGCAGTGCTGTGCTCCGTGCGGCGTTCTGCTGAAGGGATGAGGGCAGCGGATTCATGAACAACAGACCCAGATGCTGATGAGAGAAGCGCGGCTACACGGGGGACGCACGGTGTCGGAGAATGCCACGGCAGGAAAAGAGTTTCCATCCATTGGCTCTGAGGAAAGGCGTCTTTGTCTTATTGACTAACGTTAGGTTCTTTGTTTTTGACTTGAAGTCATAACTGCAGCTAATGCTGCATATCCTGCCGTTACAATGCCAGCGGGGCTGAATGCGCAAGGCAGCGGTATTCCTATCTCAGATGCGATGGGTAAGTACAAGGTCAATGGCATTCACTGCGCCCGCAGACCATTACAGTCAAACAGAGGACAATTTACGCTTGTATTTACATTTAAATGCGATTAGCAACGTTTATTCATCCTAATTATTAGAATATATTAGCATTAAACTACATTCCTGCATGTCTCGGATGCCCCCAACGAATGTCGATGTAGCACTGTTTGATATTGTTAATAAAAAATACACAACCGTAAGTGAAATTTTGTTTTTATGCGGTTATAATAGTTTAAACATGTTTTGTTTGATGATAGAAACCCATCATATTACATCACCTACATCTTTCTGGGTTTCTGGGTTGTGGCAGTGCCTTTGCGGTTGTAGATACTATAGACATACAAGAGGTCAAATACACTGGTTGTGTTGCTTTGCTGCCTTCACCCCAAAACGAACGTGCTTAAAATGTAAGAAGGAGTAACCAAATGCTGCCCAAAGGAAGGGCGTGTTGTGCCGTGGCTTCTTCCTACTCCGTTGTCTTTTCCAGGATCATTTAAGAGGAGGAAACGAAAGTCCATCATAGTAACAGTGATGCTCCTTATCGTCTCCATACTCATCCTGGTCTTTGGTCTGGCCGCTACTACCAGGACACAAAACATCACTGTCGGTGGCTACTATCCAGGAGTCATTGTAAGTATGCTACTAATGTTCATAGTCGTGCGTAGAACAGACTGCAAACTATCCTCTTGTTCTATAAATGGGTTTGTGATGTAAAGTACTGCAGGGAAGGAAAGGCCTCATGTTTAATTATTTTCCGCTTGGCCTGCCATTATGGTGACCGGTGGCCATTAACTCATTACTGTAATGTTGAACTGAGTGAACTCATCCATTTATTATTCAACAGCAAGTATCATTTTGTTCAACACTCTAGGAGAAAACATACAAGCTTAAGTAACAGTCCAGAACGTTTTGTACAAGTAACAGGTGTTTTCCTAGTATTCCGCAGGGATTGACTGTTTTGAAATACTACATGTTGGGGACATGGCCAGATTTCAAATATATAGCTCTTAACTCGGATGTTGGCCACACCATCAAATAAACGATACTGCTTGTAGAAAGACAAAAGACTTTGTGGGAATGGGAGATTGTATGTGGGATCATAATGAAGTGAGGTCGTCTACTTTTAAGACTTTGAAATAGGTTGATATTTTATATAGAGTTGCAACTCTCATGACTTGAGTTTCACCCTGTGATATTTTCAGCTCGGCTTCGGGTCCTTTCTGGGAATCATTGGCGCTCATTTGATAGAGAATAAGAGGCAGATGGTAAGGAGTCTTTCATTACACTGCTCATATCGAATTCTGTGCTTGTGCATTCCATCATCCAATTGACATTTCTAACCAAAATGCTTGCAGAAACAAACACATTTTTAAGATTCAGCTGCTTGTTTTTAGTCGTGTCATAATGGCAGAAATGGCTCACAGGTTTGAGCTCGAATAGTAGGGCATGTTGCAGGCCCTGTGGTGAAATGCACCCAGAAATAGCTCAGTGTAAGGGGAGCAGGATAGATGTTCAGGCAGGAATGTTCAGAAGCCATTCAAGTGCAGAGGGAATAGGAGGTGCCACGATCCAAATAAAGAATGCATGAGGACGGCATGGCTGGCCAGATCATAGACACACAGGGACACTTACTATTGGGAGAGTGCATGATACACACTCCACCCTTGGAGTCAAGCATGTAGATTGGTGTCTGGAAGTCTGAGATTTTATAAATCTGAAAAAAATCCTGGAAACAAGCAATGTTTAGGTTTTGAACAATGTAAAGCAAGGAACGACATGTTATGATGCTTTTGCACTATTTGTGGGTCCCTAATCAAATAAGCAAATTTGTAGAATTGAGCATGTCAAATCCTTTTGTACAGATGGTCAGATGTTCTTGTTTCCATGAAGCACAAGATGCTCTTTGGATACTTTTCAAATTATGCTGGAGAACATGATCATCAGGTTTCACTCAGTTCATGCAGCTTCAGCCGCGCTGCTGTCATTAAAGCAAAATGGAGACAAAACAAATATTAAGGCATTCTGAAATGTATGATATTTTTTTTAATCCTTATCACTCATTACACTGATAACATAAGTTGTATACATTAAATATAAGTATTATACATAATTAATTTTATTTATAATATAATATTCATATATATTTTTATTTTAATATATGAAATCATATATTATCAAATATATTTAAAGCATTATTACATATTTAAATATTATATACACCACTATTCAAAAGGTTGGGGTCAGTAAGATGTTTTTGAAATACGTATTTTATGCTCGTTAAGCTTGCATTTATTTGACCAAAAATACAGTAATATTGTGAAATATTATTACTATTTTCAGCATCATTACTCCAGTCTTTAGTGTCACATGATCTTTCAGAAATAATTCTAATAAGCTGATTTGCTGCTTAAAACATTTTGCATTATTATTATCTTTAAAATTGTGCTTTGTGCTGTTTAAAGTTGCAAAACTGTGATACTTTTTATCCAGAATCCTTTTGTAACATTATAAATCATGATTTTACTATTAATTTTGATCAATTTAATGCATCCTTGCTGAATAACAGTATATTAATTTCTTTCAAAAAATATCTTTAGCCCAAAACTTTTGAGCAGTAGGGTATTAATATTATATTTTATTATTTATAATTAAAATATTAATATAAGTAAGATATCATTTTTGTTAAATTAGAAAAATGCAAAATAGAAGCATTTTCACTGATCTCAAACATTTTTCTAGAAAAGAATGAGCTGTTTTAAGATATGCATTTATTTAGATTAGATACAGCACATCAAAAATAACACAAAACGGTATTATTTATTAATCTGATTTGGGCAGTTAAATGTTTTCCATATTCTTGACTTTACAATGCCACGAGACACGCCTCTGCAAAGTGCCTTTGATTGCCGACAGAATGGAGTGACGGGTATCTAAATGGTTGGTTGTGAAATGGCAGGGAAATCAGCGAAGTTAAGTGGCAATAAGGCAGAATCCATTCAGTCCAGATTATCTCCATATCCCATAATAGACACATCTACAAGATCTTAGACAAACCACTTCAATCTGTCTCTGTAAGGAATCGTACATAGTACTAGTGACCAGGTGTGAATGCACGTGCATTGAGCTACTACATCAGATGAATAGGCTGACACTGCTGTTCTGCTTACAGCTGGTGGCCTCCATTGTCTTCATCAGCTTCGGTGTGGTGGCGGCCTTCTGTTGTGCTATAGTGGATGGCGTTTTTGCTGCAAGACATATAGTAAGTGCTTCCACACCATGTTATTGTAAAATGCCTTTCTTCAGAAAATCATTGCAGTTAAATCTCTGTTATGGCATACTGCTGTTGTTGTTTCAAAGGACCTCAGACCTCTATATGCTGGCCGATGTGAATATTACTCCAGCGGGACCGCGTTTGATTTAGATGTGAGTCGTCAGCCTGAGAGAAGCGCTCTTGCCAAATTACAAGCCTCTGAATTTATGGGTTTTGTTATTAGTATATTATAATCCCATTTAGAAAGCACATCTGTCTTTCAGGTTCACTGTCACACCACATCTCGCGTCTCCTGTAACCTGCGTGTGAAGAGCAACACCTGCTACTGCTGTGACCTTTACAACTGTGGCAAGTATGTATGTGTGTGTGAGCGAGTCCCATTTGGATACATCCCTCCTAGGATACCTCTGCAAACAGGCAATCTGGAAGAAGAAAAAAAACTAACAACAACTATGCTATCTTTGTTTTACCTTGGTTAAGTTCTGGTTTATATTTGCTTGTATGGTGTGTGCTTCTATCCCTGAAATTCAGCACTGTTCGAAAGAACGTTTCTGTTTATTTATGTTTCAGAGAGCATCCTCTTATGGGACTTCAGAATAAAGATGTTTTGAAAAAATTTAGGAAATCCTCCATGATTTGGAAGTAGGTCTTTCCACTTTTAGCCCCTCAATGACATTGACAGCCCATTATTTGTTGTTGTTAAAATCTTGAGTGTGGCTACATACAGTCGCTGTACTTTACGTACAGTTACTTTACTCGTGAAGTGAAAGGAACTAAGATTTAGTGTTCTCTGGTTCCTGTTTCACAGGTGAGGAGAGACAGCAATAATTTAGGTTAAAAGTATGACAGTGAGCTTAAATAAGGAGACTGGATATATTTATCCATTTCATGCTCTTCTTAAGAGTGATGTGCACTGGTATGCAGATGGTTTTGTTCTTTTCTTTGGCATGAATTGCTGTTCTGTCATGCTTCACCTCTTTTGTTGCTCGGCCTGTCACCTATATGTGTTGTATTTCTTTTTATGAGCCTCTTACGATAATACATTTCTGTCCTCGCCATCTCAGTCGAGTGGAACTACGAGGAGGGTATCACGAGTACACAGAGGTGCGGAGCTGTCAGGACGTTGTGCATCTTTACCACCTGCTGTGGTCTGCTACTATCCTCAACATTGTTGCTCTGTTTCTGGGCATCATCACCGCCGCCGTGCTGGGGGGATTCAAGGACATGGTGAGATTGAAATGCAGTGCAGCTTATATAGGTGCATTTTGTATGATTTCTGAGCTCCTGTGACATTCATTGGGTCTCTTTTTAAAGATGCCTACAGCAGCAGCAGATTCCTGTGAGCCAGAACCTCTCCCTATTCCTCTACCCCCAGAGACTCCTGGACCCATAGCATCCAACAACTCTTTTTACAACACTGCCCCCTGCTTACCTCCATACACTGCCTATGACCTTCAGGTAATCGCATTCACTTTGAGCTGTCAGTCCACTTTGTGTTGCATGCTTCAGTGGGCATTTATAAGTCACTCTAGCAAATGATATAGACTTTTTCTACGATGCTTGTTCGATTAGATGAAAATGCTAATATAATAAAATATAATACATATACTTGTTATGTTGTATTATGTATTTAATGATATATGAAATGTACATATGGAATTATTATTATTACTATACTATAATATAGTAATATAATGTTTATATTGTATATTTCTATTTATTTTTTAATTACGCCTGTCAGTTATCATTAACTTAATGCAATCAATTATTTTTAAAAATGTATTCAAATATGTAAACAATAAGCACAAAAAGATCATCCCCCGGTACAAAAAAAATAAATATTTAATTTATTGAGAGCAGTGTTATTTGACTATCATTGATATCCTTTTATAGTTTTTGTTAATATTTTGAATATTTAAAAAAATACAATATATTTATAATTTTTCTATTTATAATAACAATATAATATAATAAGCAATAAGCACAAAAAGATCATTATTATGCCTGTCAATTAATGTAAAGTTTGTGCAAACCATTCTTTTAAAAATTTATTCAAACAATAAGCACAATAAGATCATCCCCTGGTACAAAAAATTACAATTTTAACTTATTGAGAGCAGTGTTACTTCACTATCATTGATATCCTTTTATAATTGTTAATATTTTGAATTATATTTATATTTTCTGTTTTTAAAGCACTAATGTTTTGTTGCGTGTTTTTGGCATTTATTTTTTATTTTTTGTTTTTAAAGGGGTCATATGATGCTGCTAAAAAGAACATTATTTTGTGTATTTGGTGTAATGAAATGTGTTTATGCGGTTTAAAGTTAAAAAAAACACATTAAAAGTTTCGCTTTCACTACTTAGCACACAGCACCTTCACGACATGGCTGCAGCGTCAACAATACTACAGTGAGAATAAAAGTTACGCCTTCTTTCTTTGCGTGAACATTTGGGCGGCGTTATGCAAATCTTCCCACATAGTGAGGTAGATATGTGGGGGCATGTTAGAACGAGCCGTTTTAGGTAGGCGTGGCTGACTCTGAACTTTTATAAAGAATATCTCTTTGGATTTGAGACTTTAGTCTTTGCAACTTTACAGATCTTTTTTATGCACCAAGAGCTTGTAACACTCCAAAGAGAAAGGAAAAATTTAAATAGCATCATATGACCCCTTTAAAAATATCTATATAATATAATTTTTTTAGTTTCAGTTTATTTTGTCTTGGTTACTTTAGTAGCTAAAACTAAAGGAAAATGACTAATGTTGCCTTGTAAGTTTAATAAGGTGACGCTTTTTTAAAAATATTTTATTTTAGTTAACATTTATTTTATTTTCACTATTTTTTTAAGGTTTTAGTTAACCATAGTCAAACTGATTTAGAGCTTTAGAGATGATACTTTATACGTTTTGAAGGTGCATGATATGTGTGCTAATGTGATTTTACAGGGTGCCAGCATGTTTCCTGGCTCTTCAGGCCTGTCTGATGACTCTCAGTCTGGAGCCAGTCACATGTGGCCAAATATGATCCCGCCTCGCTATTCTCCTCCTTATTACCCACCTGATGAGAAGCCCCCACCATACAGCCCCTAAGGGACCAGTCTAAGGAAGACATTTTCCTGCAAAGAGAGAACTAGCATTGGGCATTTTGGATATTGGAGTACCCCATCATTGAACAATAATTGTTCTGAATTAACGACCTTTGCAGAGGAGGTTCACCTGTGCAGCGGGTTAAGTGCAGAGAGACTACAGCATTAACCACGCTCATTCATCACCATTCAGCAGATGTAATATGCAACATTAAACCTTGACAGGATTCGCTCAAGTCAAACCCAGTGTGTAAAATAGTCACATTATATGTAGCCTCAAACCAAGAGGACTATACCTAATAACATATTAACGACCTTTGCAGAGGAGGTTCACCTGTGCAGCGGGTTAAGTGCAGAGAGACTACAGCATTAACTACGCTCATTCATCACCATTCAGCAGATGTAATATGCAACATTAAACCTTGACAGGATTCGCTCAAGTCAAACCCAGTGTGTAAAATATTCACATTATATGTAGCCTCAAACCAAGAGGACTATACCTAATAACAACTAGCCTGACTATGAGATCAAGACTGTTCACAGATAAGCCTTAAAATGTGTGTCCGCTTCCAGTACGGCTCCACCTGGCTCGCCTCTTCTTCCCGTTATAGGTAACGTTTTCTTTGCGTAGCTCCATAATGTGAACTTCTCCCTTCCAAAGTGGCACAAAGTGTTTTGCATCGCCTCTGCTTTCTCTGTCTCTTATCTTATCTAGCAATTGATTTGCACTTTATTGTCTTCAGAATTTACTGTATTCACACAGTTCTAGATAATTACTTGAGTTATTTTTAACTGTTTCGGGCAGCTACATTGCATGCAAAGAACTGTATATTTAGGCTGAATCTTATTTTTGCTCTCCCGAGTGCTTCATTAGGATCTAAGATTTAACCTGTAATATGTGGTGTTTCTTCTGCATGACGTAATGCACACAATCATATCACAAATTTGAATAATCTTTTGTGACAAAAATATCCTTTGCTTGATTTATGCAAAGTAATAAGCTCTTACATTAGTGGTATGAAGAATGAGAGGGCTTTCAAAATTTGTATATTTCACATTCGTCCGCTGTTCTGCGTTGCCGACAGGACTTACCGAATGTAAAAAAGGAGGCTTAGCTTCATATAAACCTACATTGTTCACTACGTAATAATAAAAATTCCCTCCACAATGCAAATATATCAGTGTGTGCAATGTTGTATATGTTGTGCATATACCGAACATTTCACATTCGTCCGCTGTTCTGCGTTGCCGACAGGACTTACCGAATGTAAAAAAGGAGGCTTAGCTTAATATAAACCTACATTGTTCACTACGTAATAATAAAAATTCCCTCCACAATGCAAATATATCAGTGTGTGCAATGTTGTATATGTTGTGCATATACCGAATGATCAAACTGCCTTCTCGTAACACAACAGAATTGAGTCTTAAGACTTAGTGTTCTCCTTTTTGTCTGTTTGCGTGTCCACTGTGAATGCCATGTCTATACACTGTACTTCATGTGCTTGATTTATATAAAGAACAGTGTCCTTTACTGATGAAATTCAATGATTTCATTACTTCCTATTTGACATTTGGGTGCAACTGGTGGTTGTAGTACAGTCACATGCTATAAAGAAAACTCGTAAAGTGGATCTTTGCCTCATTTGTTCATTTTTGACCACATTCATGTCACATGAAAGCATTGTTTACATTTGATGTTAAAATCTTAAAATGAAAGACTGATAGTTCAGCTTAGTATTAAATATAAATTGTATAGCTGGAATAGACTTTCTGCTTTATTATCACACTGGCACTCGACCACTGAATCCATTTGATCCCTCATCAGTTTATATTCATGAATCGGTGCATTATAATATGTTCAACGACAAGATCCACTCTGATACAGAGCCAGGAATGTTCATATTGACTGGTGGTTATCATACTGAAAAATACTAATCACTTTCATCATGCTCTTGGAAATAAAAGAAATACATGAGTACTTTCTTCAAAGTTTTATTTCATTCTATATCACACTAAGACCTAATAATAAATAGGTTCCAAAAGGGAAGAAAGTGTTAAAATGAAGGTCTTCAGTACTATCATGTACATGGTTATGGTGTTAAAGCACTAGTTCAGTTCTAGTTCTGAAGGAATCTCATTGTATTCACAGATTCTTCTCACAGCCCACAAAGCTAAAATAATTGATAAAACTATGCTGAAAAAAACATTTAAAAAAATGACATATGTACAAAATATTCAACCGTAAAGGAGAGGTCCTCTTGTACTACCAACATGACCCTTTGATTACCCTGAACAATTCAGTATCTTGTTTCTCTAGACATGAATGGAGGAGGGATGAATATCTCTCTTCGGGTCTCGATTACTGTCTGGGGATATATATCAGGATATATGGCCAGCATATAAATAAACAACCTCAAAACATAATTACTGGACAGATGGGATTACAAATTTCACATATTTACTCCATCCTTCTTAAAACCTGCTGACAATCAAAAACTATAAATACAAACATTCAAACTGTTTCTTACCGCAGGACCGATACCTGCCATTAACACGGAACTATCTAGTGCCAAACAATCATTAATAACTACCATAAGAAGCTGACAAGAAAATTAAAATGATGTTAGCGTCTCTTTCAAAAGAAACTTTGAAAAACGAAAGGCATGATTTTATGTTGACTCTGAATTTTCATTACACTTGATTTTGGACTTGGGATTTATGTACTGCTCTCCTAAAAAGCATTTACACATCAAAATTACATAATTGTAAAAATAACTGTAACAAACTGTACTTGATCCCTACTAATTACATACGACATGGTTGTAATGTCCGGAACAAAAATGGGAATAGAAAATATTAAAGGTCAGTTCTACACAGGTCTAATGTAGCTGTAAATAAAATATGTATTGCCTACTTAGTCATACTATCTGATGAAGCATTATTATGATTCAATAATGGATTGTGAAACTGAACTGTAAACCAGCACTAAGTAATACATTGTCTAAATATACATTAAAGCACCTTGAAACAACTTTCATGAGTTGATGGATACTGAAGTTGAGTTTTCAATCAAATGGTCCAAAGAACCACGACCACTCGCCTCTCAAATTAAAACACGTACAAAGGAACAAGGCACCTGAGCCAGAGCAGTGCACAAGCATGCTCAGTACGTCTCTGGTATAACAAACTCAAATTCATTCCTGGTTTCTGCATTTATTTGGTCGATAGGGCGCGGAGGTGAAGCCGCCGGCCTGTTTTGTGCTTCGGATTCTACAAAGATGTCGTCCCAGGTCAGTGCTTTGCTTTGGCTAGCTGGAAGTGGCTGGTTGGTAAAGTGCTCTTTGTCGGGGTTTACATGTTGGACAGTCCCATCTTCACCAATCACCGGAATCCCTCCCGGCTCTTCGGACACGAAGGAATACGGTTTGAACTGCAACGTTTTACACGGCAGCAGCCGATACAAGTTGTTACACGAGTCATCTTTCTCTTTCCTTCCCGACGGGTCTTGGTTGTGCGTTTGCTTGCAGTGGGTGGACAAAATCTGATAATTGAGAAAGGTTTCATTGCACAGTAAACACTGGTACCGTCTTTCGCCCGTGTGAGTGATTTCATGTTTGGTTCTGTACTCGGCCAGGGCAAAAACCTTGCTGCAGTAATGGCACGGATACTTTCGTTCCCATGAGTGAGTGTTAAAGTGCCGCCTGAGGCTCGTCAGGCACACATAGGGACGCTTGCACACGATGCACACGTAAAAGGTCTTTCCATCCATGATAAGTTCGTAGTGATCCTCCTGATCCAGCTTTGATTTTTTCTTTCCTTGAGGCGAGTGATTGCTCACACTGGGAACACCGTGTGGTGTTTGCGATTTCCTACCAGGAGCCGATCCCTCTACAGGATCCTCTTTTTCTGGAACAATGTCGTAGGTGTTTTCGCCGATGTTGGCGTACACTTTACAACCCGGCGATAGCGAATCGATTTCTGAGGCTTTGTCTAATGTTATCGTCTTTTTCTCCAACACCGCCGGGACTATGTTCATTGCTGGTACTGGTCCATTATTAGTGCTATACATCGGCCTTACATCCGACAGTCTGATTTTTCCAGGATGATCAGGCGAGTGCTCTAGAAGGACCTTTTTCTTTTGGACTCCGAGCACTTCGTTGTTGTCTAGAGGCAGCGAGGTGCTGTGAGGATCAGGAGGAAGGCTGTTCACACCAGCTGGGGTGGTGGGTTCGCTGTTTGAGCTCGTTACTGGTGAAGTGAGAGCACTGCTACTGGATTCTGGATCTGAGAGGATCACAACATCGGGCTGGGGCTCAAAGTTATTTTGGAGTGATGTATTTCTTTCAGAAGAAAGCTTGTTGTTTCTCTCTTGGGCTGTTGAATCTTTAGAGGCAATTTCTTGCTCGTTTGTCATTTTTAGTTTTTTAGCTTCTGGCCCTCCTTCTTTGTCATTAACGTTTGATATCTTGGTCTTTTGAGCTTGAGGGGCCTCTGTTTTTGAGACGAAAAGAACATCATCGCTGTCTGAGTCCACTTCCTTTTCCGTATTAACGCACGCCATGTTGAACTCTTCAGCGGACAGTGAGAATGTCTCAGTAATGATTGGCATATTCTCACCTCCGGTGTCATTCTTCTCAGAGGAATTGATGCTGTTGTTCTCACTTTCTTTGGACAGGCCAGGTAAACCTTTGACTTGAGCGAGCGGCGTTCCTAAACTGGCTATGAACGTCACTCCCAAAGCCTGACCGGCGCTGATGAGATCCTCAAGTCTGTCCGAGCGAACTCTGTAGATTTTAGACGTGTATATGTAATTCAAGATCACATCGAATATGTCTGCCTTGATGAAGTTCAGCTCTATAACTTGTCCAGCAACTGCGAAAAGTTGACGGAAATAGGTACTTGAGGAGGACAGTACACATTTGTGCGCCTTGAACTTGCGGTCTTGCACAATTATGGTGACATCACAGAATAAACCGCTTTGTCGCTCATCATTGATGGACTTCAACAGTGATGCTGGGTACTGAGTGTCTGCTGCAGATATTAGCTTTATTATTATTATTAATATGTAGAGGAAGAAGAAGAATTTTAAAAACTGAAAATTACAAAGTGATTTATTGGCATGTCATAGACATGTTGTAGACTGTATAAAAGTTTTATTACAGTGTTATTAGTCTCATATATACAGCTCAGTAACTATCAGGTTTTCACAAGTCCAAATTACAAAAATGTGTATTCTCTCTAGCAGTGGTTTTGTGTGAGTTTCAAACATCTTTGTGAATCCTGTATTCAAACACAATAATACATTAAATATACACTGAGCTGGGTAGATTACTTGAAAATTGTAATCCGTTACTGATTCCAAATTACATGACAAAAATGTGGTTTGTAATGTAATCCATTACATTACACATTTTAGGTAATATAATCACAATAATTTTAGATTACTTTTGACCTAACTTGTTTATCATATTGATTTAAATAGGATAATCTTGTATCGTATTGATTAAAAAATTCTAAGAAAAATAAAATATATTACATTTCTTGTCATTAACATAATTAAGTGCACTTAAGCGAACTAAATATTACATTACTGTTTGTCAAGGTTGCCCAAACTCAGGCCCTTGAAGGAACTGCAGAGGGTTCGAGAGTTTAATGAAAAGTTAATAATTAAATCATAAAAATGTAAAATTACAAAGAATTTAAATAACAACAATCAAAATAAACACTTACTAAAACAATAAATAATTTGCTTACCTGCATGTCATGTAAGCATTAACCAACATCAGAGAACCATGGACATGCAAATGTGTTACTTAATCATTAACTTATTTTCTTAAAATCTCAGGGGGTACTTCAAATAAATATATAAGGTGAAAGAGATTCAGCTGACAAAAAATTTTTGGGAATCCCTGCGTTACATGTAAACAAGAAATAACGTGAATTTGTGCATTTGAATGTGTTTGAAAAGCCTTCCGAAGACACAGAAATACATGGTTAAATAACCCACTGAGTGATAATTCAAATAAAAATGAATGTGTTCATCAGTAGTTGATGCAATGTTGAAATGTTGAGAAAACACTTTTTAAAATTAAAATGATTTTTGTAAATCCAGTGGTCAAATGCTGTGTGGCCTCTTAATTTTCTGTGTAATTAAAGTCACCTGACCTTTGTCTTTGTGTGAATGTCCACAAAACTGGAAGACTTTCTGAACTGATATAAGCGCTAGACTAGAAAGAAACATTTAAAAGAAGAAAAAGAGGAATTAAGGAGAATAAATACAGTGGGTACGGAAAGTATTCAGACCCCCTTAAATTTTTCACTCTTTGTTATATTGCAGCCATTTGCTAAAATCATTTAAGTTATTTTTTTTTCCTCATTAATGTACACACAGCACCCCATATTGACAGAAAAACACAGAATTGTTGACATTTTTGCAGATTTATTAAAAAAGAAAAACTGAAATATCACATGGTCCTAAGTATTCAGACCCTTTGCTCAGTAGAAGAAGAATTTTAAAAACTGAAAATTACAAAGTGATTTATTGGCATGTCATAGACATGTTGTAGACTGTATAAAAGTTTTATTACAGTGTTATTAGTCTCATATATACAGCTCAGTAACTATCAGGTTTTCACAAGTCCAAATTACAAAAATGTGTATTCTCTCTAGCAGTGGTTTTGTGTGAGTTTCAAACATCTTTGTGAATCCTGTATTCAAACACAATAATACATTAAATATACACTGAGCTGGGTAGATTACTTGAAAATTGTAATCCGTTACTGATTCCAAATTACATGACAAAAATGTGGTTTGTAATGTAATCCATTACATTACACATTTTAGGTAATATAATCACAATAATTTTAGATTACTTTTGACCTAACTTGTTTATCATATTGATTTAAATAGGATAATCTTGTATCGTATTGATTAAAAAATTCTAAGAAAAATAAAATATATTACATTTCTTGTCATTAACATAATTAAGTGCACTTAAGCGAACTAAATATTACATTACTGTTTGTCAAGGTTGCCCAAACTCAGGCCCTTGAAGGAACTGCAGAGGGTTCGAGAGTTTAATGAAAAGTTAATAATTAAATCATAAAAATGTAAAATTACAAAGAATTTAAATAACAACAATCAAAATAAACACTTACTAAAACAATAAATAATTTGCTTACCTGCATGTCATGTAAGCATTAACCAACATCAGAGAACCATGGACATGCAAATGTGTTACTTAATCATTAACTTATTTTCTTAAAATCTCAGGGGGTACTTCAAATAAATATATAAGGTGAAAGAGATTCAGCTGACAAAAAATTTTTGGGAATCCCTGCGTTACATGTAAACAAGAAATAACGTGAATTTGTGCATTTGAATGTGTTTGAAAAGCCTTCCGAAGACACAGAAATACATGGTTAAATAACCCACTGAGTGATAATTCAAATAAAAATGAATGTGTTCATCAGTAGTTGATGCAATGTTGAAATGTTGAGAAAACACTTTTTAAAATTAAAATGATTTTTGTAAATCCAGTGGTCAAATGCTGTGTGGCCTCTTAATTTTCTGTGTAATTAAAGTCACCTGACCTTTGTCTTTGTGTGAATGTCCACAAAACTGGAAGACTTTCTGAACTGATATAAGCGGTAGACTAGAAAGAAACATTTAAAAGAAGAAAAAGAGGAATTAAGGAGAATAAATACATAATAATTTATTGCTATTGTGTGAATATGTAATCATGTAATCAATAAAAAAGTAGCTGTAGTCTGATTACTAGTGTTTTAAAATGTAATTTAATCTAATTACTAGTACTTAATTTTAAGTAGGCTACTTAATCTGATTACTGGATAGGACCCCCCCCCCCCCCCCTACTGCATTTTCTTTTTGTTTTTCTACATTATTTATTGCTTTTCTAAAGATCATTATTTGGTGTATTTGGTGTAACAGAATATGTTGACATGCTTTAATGTTCAAAAAACACATTCTATTAAGTTTAGAAACATTTTGAGTCTCCCCCTCCCCTGCCTCACAGTGCTGTGGTTCAAATGGAGAATTCAGCTTTGCATCACAGGAATTAATTACATTTGAAAATATATTAGAAACAGACATTTTAAAGTGTAATAATTTGACATTAATGCTGTTTTAACTATTTTATCAAATAAATGCAGTTTTGGTGAGCATAAGACAACTTTCAGTCATATATATATATATATATGTGTGTGTGTGTGTGTGTCGCATCGTATGACCCCTTTAAAAAAAAGAGTGATAAAAGACAATTTAACTGTACTTGTGCAGTGACAATAGCTTAAATTGATTTGAAACTCTGAAACAGTCTGTGTTCAGTAATATATTAATCATATACTCTGTGCTTAAACGCTTTCATCTTATATCTTGTAATAGCTCAGATGAACACACTCCTGTAGAAGAGGACGTGAAGAACAGCAGCACTGATTCAAGTTCACAGGGTAAATGATTCTTTACTATCTCACTTACACACAATGGGCCTCGTTTACGAAACAAACGTACGACAGAAAATTGGGCGTGCGTTCGTTTCAACGCAAAACTTGGAATTGATCAATATAGACGTGACAGCGGTGGCTACGATCAGATCTCTCGGCTGGTCTCAGCTCGTGTACGCAAGCTTTTGAGTTACCTGAACCTGCGCGCAGCATAGTAAATACGGTGGAGAATTGTAGATTGACAGCATTTTGTTCATTTTTATATTCCTGACCGTCAAACGAAGCTCATTAGTCGATCGTTAACCAGTAAGATTAGAATGTCTTTTTTTGTTCGCTTTCATACAGGGCTTTAGCTTTATATGCGCGAATAGCAGCGTAAACAAGACCGTGAGGATTCAATCGTCGCATCATGCACCTGCAGCGCTTCTGTGAAAGGAGAAAAACTGAAATTAAGTCTATAAAAGGAATCAAATAAATAGGATCACACACAATATATAATAGCCTAATATATCATTTTATAACGACTTATTTTTCATTCTTGTTCTGTTCTGAATACTGTTAAATTTTAAATATTTGTTGTAGAGTGAGGGGAACTAAATAGGCTGTTTATATTTACCAGTATTTTAATATACAAATTACATAAATTAATGTAGCCTAATTGTTTGCAATTACAAGGTTAACGGGTGTTTTTGGCGTAAGATTAATTTCTCTTTCATGAGATTACTTCCTCTTTTTGGCCGGGTTTCGTAAACTCAGGGGCGAGGCTTCTAAACCAGGGTGTTTTTAGGGGCGTGATATTCAAATGAATATTGTTTTCTTCCGCCACATTTATTAACGTGCGATCATTCGTACGATGAGATTGGTGGCATACGAATGTTTCATGAATCACACGTGAACTCTGTTGTAAGTTGATTTGTGCGCACGGATCTGCGCTCGTTTCTACGTTAGATTGGTAAATGAGGCCCAGTTAGCTTTTTCACTACAGCATATTTATCAAATATGAAACAGAAGTTGTTGAATAAATCATCTAAATGTCTGGTATCTTGTCTACAGAGGAAGAACAGGAAGCACTCAAGAGGACAGCGAGTCAGAAAGTGATTCTGAAGGTTTGGCATTTATTTTTGTTCCAAAACATACATCAGTTTAAATGTAAGATTATGTAAATAATTAGTTGGTTGTTTTGCAGAAGAGATGGAAAAAGAAGAAAAGTAAAAAGTAAGACTCTTGTTTTCATCTGTAGTGTATTGAATCGGCAAGGCTTGATTCGTTTCATTCAATGGCAGGGTTTTGTTCTCACAGGAAAAAATCGAAGAAGATGGCGAAGAAGAATCACAAGGAGTCCAGTAGCTCTAGCAGTGAACATTCAGAGGAAGAAGAAGAGGATGTCGATGAAATCTCATGGGTGGAGAAAACTGGTGTTGGAGAACATGTTGTTGGACCTGAAGCTCGTCTCGCTCACCTGTCCCAAGCTGACAAACCTTTAGAGTGAGCTATTGATTCTTCCTCCACTGTTGCTTAATGATAATAGTGGTTGTTTTTAAGTGATTTTTGATCCTGTCTCTGGAACCGAATGTTACAGCTTTGTGCCTTGTCTTGTTTCCCTTTTGGCCACGCTTTGCTACCAGGAGAAGGTGCAGCCATGGAAGAGTTTGTCAAAGCAGGAAAACGTATTCCAGGAAGAGGTGAAATTGGTCTTGTGGTGGAGGACTAGTGATGAGATTGCAGAGTTTGAGAAATGGGGCTATGTCATGAGTGGAAGCAGGTATGAAACGTTTATATTGTACAGGTGAAACTGTACATTTAAAGGTGAAACTGATGTAATTGTAGATGGTGTATCATACACATTTTTATATGCTATTCTTTATGCCCTCAGACATCGGTGTATGGAGGCTGTGCGTCTGAGAAAGGAAAACCAGATCTACAGTGCTGATGAGAAGAGGGCGCTTGCTTCCTTCCTTCAACCAAGAGGAAAGAAGAAAGAGGGAGAGCAAAATCCTTTCCAGCTCCAGGGAAATGGTGTACAGAAAAACTAAAGGCAAAGACGAGAAGTAGGCTGTCCTGCAGAATTATATTTTCAGTTGGAATGTCATTATTTTTCTTTTTTAAAAGGAAACAGACAACATAAACTGTGATTAAGTCACAGATTTTACTTAAATGTGTGTTTGTATTCATTTTTGTTTGCTTGGGCATTTTCCTGTACAGTACATGGTGAGGCTTGTGAACTAAAATTGATATGTATGTTTATTTTATTACAAACAAGAAATAAACTGTGATCAGTAGAACTCAAACCATTAACCACTGCAATACCCTTCATGTGATGTGTGTTGCAGCTAAATAAAAATGGTCGTGATTCACTGTCATGCTGGAAAGTTAGCAATTACAAGGTTAACGGGTGTTTTTGGCGTAAGATTAATTTCTCTTTCATGAGATTACTTCCTCTTTTTGGCCGGGTTTCGTAAACTCAGGGGCGAGGCTTCTAAACCAGGGTGTTTTTAGGGGCGTGATATTCAAATGAATATTGTTTTCTTCCGCCACATTTATTAACGTGCGATCATTCGTACGATGAGATTGGTGGCATACGAATGTTTCATGAATCACACGTGAACTCTGTTGTAAGTTGATTTGTGCGCACGGATCTGCGCTCGTTTCTACGTTAGATTGGTAAATGAGGCCCAGTTAGCTTTTTCACTACAGCATATTTATCAAATATGAAACAGAAGTTGTTGAATAAATCATCTAAATGTCTGGTATCTTGTCTACAGAGGAAGAACAGGAAGCACTCAAGAGGACAGCGAGTCAGAAAGTGATTCTGAAGGTTTGGCATTTATTTTTGTTCCAAAACATACATCAGTTTAAATGTAAGATTATGTAAATAATTAGTTGGTTGTTTTGCAGAAGAGATGGAAAAAGAAGAAAAGTAAAAAGTAAGACTCTTGTTTTCATCTGTAGTGTATTGAATCGGCAAGGCTTGATTCGTTTCATTCAATGGCAGGGTTTTGTTCTCACAGGAAAAAATCGAAGAAGATGGCGAAGAAGAATCACAAGGAGTCCAGTAGCTCTAGCAGTGAACATTCAGAGGAAGAAGAAGAGGATGTCGATGAAATCTCATGGGTGGAGAAAACTGGTGTTGGAGAACATGTTGTTGGACCTGAAGCTCGTCTCGCTCACCTGTCCCAAGCTGACAAACCTTTAGAGTGAGCTATTGATTCTTCCTCCACTGTTGCTTAATGATAATAGTGGTTGTTTTTAAGTAATTTTGGATCCTGTCTCTGGAACCGAATGTTACAGCTTTGTGCCTTGTCTTGTTTCCCTTTTGGCCACGCTTTGCTACCAGGAGAAGGTGCAGCCATGGAAGAGTTTGTCAAAGCAGGAAAACGTATTCCAGGAAGAGGTGAAATTGGTCTTGTGGTGGAGGACTAGTGATGAGATTGCAGAGTTTGAGAAATGGGGCTATGTCATGAGTGGAAGCAGGTATGAAACGTTTATATTGTACAGGTGAAACTGTACATTTAAAGGTGAAACTGATGTAATTGTAGATGGTGTATCATACACATTTTTATATGCTATTCTTTATGCCCTCAGACATCGGCGTATGGAGGCTGTGCGTCTGAGAAAGGAAAACCAGATCTACAGTGCTGATGAGAAGAGGGCGCTTGCTTCCTTCCTTCAACCAAGAGGAAAGAAGAAAGAGGGAGAGCAAAATCCTTTCCAGCTCCAGGGAAATGGTGTACAGAAAAACTAAAGGCAAAGACGAGAAGTAGGCTGTCCTGCAGAATTATATTTTCAGTTGGAATGTCATTATTTTTCTTTTTTAAAAGGAAACAGACAACATAAACTGTGATTAAGTCACAGATTTTACTTAAATGTGTGTTTGTATTCATTTTTGTTTGCTTGGGCATTTTCCTGTACAGTACATGGTGAGGCTTGTGAACTAAAATTGATATGTATGTTTATTTTATTACAAACAAGAAATAAACTGTGATCAGTAGAACTCAAACCATTAACCACTGCAATACCCTTCATGTGATGTGTGTTGCAGCTAAATAAAAATGGTCGTGATTCACTGTCATGCTGGAAAGTTAATTAAAGAGGAGAATTAACCCCTAATAATAAATAACCCTGCGTTTATTAACCTTGTAAGGTTAATTAAAATATGGAGTCTCTGTTTTTTGTTATGTGCCTTGAATCTCTAGTTGTAGAAATTGCCAACAATATTCATTTGTTTTTCTTAAGAATTATTTTATTTAAATTGAGTATATGCAGTGCATTTAAAAAAAGAATTAACCACCCATATAGTTATTCAAAGATAAAGCATATGTACACTTTATACTACAACATTAAAAGTAACTTTTAAATAATGGATTTTTACATTTACAGCTATATTAAAAAACACTAATAATCTTATTGTACTTACAAAGAGCAAAATCTACACAATAAATTCACAAGTGATTTCCATTAAAGAGGAGAATTAACCCCTAATAATAAATAACCCTGCGTTTATTAACCTTGTAAGGTTAATTAAAATATGGAGTCTGTTTTTTGGTATGTGCCTTGAATCTCTAGTTGTAGAAATTGCCAACAATATTCATTTGTTTTTCTTAAGAATTATTTTATTTAAATTGAGTATATGCAGTGCATTTAAAAAAAGAATTAACCACCCATATAGTTATTCAAAGATAAAGCATATGTACACTTTATACTACAACATTAAAAGTAACTTTTAAATAATGGATTTTTACATTTACAGCTATATTAAAAAACACTAATAATCTTATTGTACTTACAAAGAGCAAAATCTACACAATAAATTCACAAGTGATTTCCATGACTTTTCCCAGCCTGGAAATCACAATTCTATGACAGTACGAGCCACAAAGACTGCTGTAAGCATTATGGTTTGAAACAGAAGTATGTCAAGTCTGCATGCTTGCTGCTTCATCATCTCAATTTTCTTTACTGGACGTCTAAATGGATGTAAAATGTGCACAAGCTTTCCTTCACAAAATAAGCTTAGTGCATCACATTACCACATATCATGTCTTCAGGCACTCCATTTGAAGCTGTCAAAGAATTCTGTGGAGTGTGTATATTACATAAACACATTACACCCTGTTTATGCACATTATGTGTACTTTAGTATATTTTCAAGCATTTTATGGATCCACTTAAATTGATCGATTATAATTATTTGAAGTACTTTGCACATTTGGTAGACTAGTATCATACGTAATGTGCATTATGTACAATGTATGTATATGCATTGCTCTGTAAAAAACTGCAGGGATTGGATCATGCACTCTATATTTTAACCCATCATTACACAGTGAAGTGACAATGTGATCTTATAAAATGTTTTACTGTCAACTAAATTCTAGTACCAAAACAGTACAATATAACAGCTCAATAAAAAATATGAACAAAAAAATGACAACAGCAGGCCAATTAATAATTTAAAGATAACATTTTAATAGACGACTGGACTAAATGTACATTTCAACTGTTGCTTGGTGGATCTTCATTTGATGTTTTCAAGTCCCTGTGAAATAAACAAAGAATATTAAAACGCGGGGTTTTGCAATCATATTGTCAGTACTGATACATATTTATACATGCTTACACAAGTTTTACCTTGGCATGGTAGTGTGCACCAGTCCCAGACACTCTACTGTCTCTCTCCATCAAATACCAGTGATAGGGAACCCGTACGATTCTCTTTTCCTGAGTGCGAGAAGTAGTAACTTTTGTATTAAATGCTGTAGACCAGTGGTTCCCAAACCTGTCCTGGAGCACCCCCTGCCCTGCACATTTTGTATGTCTCCCTAATCAGACACACCCAATTTAGTTCTTGCAGTCTCTACTAATGAGCTGATGAGTGGAGTCAGGTGTGTTAGATAAGGGAGACATACAAAAGGTGCAGGGCAGGGGGGCCCGCAGGACAGGTTTGGGAAGCACTGCTGTAGACTTACTATACGAGAGCAAACAGAAACATCAGACAAATGTCAAGCTGAAACAAACGTTTATATATAATGAAAGGTTCATAAAAGTATATACTCCATGATAAAGAGTGACAAAACATTGCTCATCATCATCATAACTCACCTTGCCACCGTTTGTGAACTTCTGGATTTGAGCAGTTGCGATGCCAGGAATCATCAGACAAACTGTCATAATAGCAAAACCGGGCAATATCTCATACCACATGATTGTGGTGAAATATGAGTGTACAAACACAGAGAAATGGCCGCAGAGGACAAGATTTATTTAGTTTTTCAGAGAATCTCGCAAAAATTGTCGTCTACATGGGTTAAAATGTCTGCCCTTCTGACGGTCACAAAAACAACTTCCGAGATGTGTATAATTCACTTCCGCCTCTGAAAACCTCCGCTGTAATACTGCAGCGCCGCGTTGTGGCTCTTAGCGTAAGTCTTAAACTACTAAAACTACTACAGTATTAATAGACAGACTTATGGCCACTTTGTTAATAAGGACATGCGTAGCACAAAAATACATTTGAATCATTTTTGAATGTTATAGCCGAATGATAAAAATAGTTAGGGAGGCGCACAGCAATGTCTAGCCTGTCCACTCTTCATGGAAGAGCGGAAAAAAGAGAAGTATTAAATTTATAGGAAGTGTGCGATTTTGTTATGTAACATTGTGGCAAATATGCTGTTAGTGTGATTAACAGTCACTAATTAACATCGAAATAGAACGCTATGGATACCAACTGCCGTAAAACTCCAACGAAGAAGAAGAAGAACATCGAAATAGAGTATACTCCCTAGTAAGAGTCCATTTGACAACGATAAAGTCGCAGAGTGGAAGAGTGGACGCTCCTCGCTTTATCGAGAGACTCTTTGCGCCATGAGCTGTAGCCAATCAGAGACGCCTGCTGGTGGTACGGAGAAACAACTGCGGAAAGTTGGGCAGTGAAGAGATAGCAGACACGACTGATAACAGCGAGAAACATACGAAGTAAGACATCGCTGCAAAAGTTGGCAAAGCATCATGAAGGAGGACAAGGAAAACACGCGTCCCAGAGAAAAGAAAGTGGAAATAAAATGTGACGAAATTGAGAAAGCAGAGAAGCCAAATAAAGAGAAGAAGGAGGCTATGACAAAGGTAGTTAATTAGCAGGCTAGCTGGCTACATTCCTGCTACAAATAGACTATAAACAGCGCAGCTAGTCGCTTTCATTTGAAATACTATGAATTATTGTTTGCTGCTGAATTTTGACTAACGTGTTTACATATTACTCTCTGTTTGATTTAAACGTTGTAGTTGAATATCACTGGACATGCCTGATACTTACAGACTGGTTAGCAAATAATCCCCCTGTCAAAGTTTCCAATCACTGCGGGGATTTGGCAGTTAGCACAATAAAAGAGAGGGATCTCCTAGAAACTTCGACAGGGGGATTTTTGTGGACACAGCCACAAACAATAATTTATAGTATTTTGAATGTCAAATAATATCTCAGTCACTGTAATGTTATTATATACAGCAATTACAGTTTAACATAGACTTTGTGTGTATATATAGCACATGTGCATGTAGGTTAACAACTCTTCCACTTAAAGGGTTAGTTCACCCAAAAATGAAAATTCTGTCATTAATTACTCACCCTCATGTCGTTTCAAACCCGTAAGACCTCCGTTCGTCTTCGGAACACAAATTAAGCTATTTTTGATGGAATCTGAGAGCTGTCTGACCCTGCATAGACAGCAACGCAACTGAAATGTTCCCAAGTCCAGAGACGTAGCAAGGAGATCTGTAAAATAATCCATGTGACATCAGGGGTTCAACCGTAATTTTACAAAGCTTCGAGAATACTTTTTGTGCGAAAACAGCGTATCCGCTTGATGCAGCTGACACAACAGCATACGCTGTTTATGTCCAGTGGATATTCTCCAAAATGGCACTACAGGGTGACACGGAAGAGACAAATTGTTGAATAAAGTCGGGGGGTTTTTTTTCTTTTGCGCACAAAGTATTCTCATAGCTTCGTAAAATTATGGTTGAACCCCTGATGTCACATGGATTATTTTACCGATCTCCTTGCTACGTCTCTGGACTTGGGAACATTTCAGTTGCGTTGCTGTCTATGCAGGGTCAGACAGCTCTCAGATTCCATCAAAAATAGCTTAATTTGTGTTCCGAAGATGAACAGAGGTCTTACGGGTTTGAAACGACATGAGCGTGAGTAATTAATGACACAATTTTCATTTTTGGGTGAACTATCCGAAGTGTGTTCAAGTAATTCCTGTATTGATTTTTGTTCTTTTTATATATTTTTATAATTTTTTTAGATTGTGATTCGACGTCTCCCTCCAAGTCTAACTAAAGAAGACTTAGTGGAACAACTGCAGCCTCTTCCAGAGCTGGATTACCTGGAGTTTTTCTCTAGCGATACTAGGTTTGTAGATGCAGTCTTATAAAAGAAAGCATAAGACTGAAACATAATGAAAGGTATTTGATGGCTGATCAAGATGTTTGTTTATTTGCAGTCTTTTCCCTCATCTGTTTGCAAGAGCCTATCTGAATTTCAAAAATCAAGATGACATAGTTCTCTTCAGAGACCGGTTTGATGGCTATGTCTTCATTGATAATCGAGGTTTGGCTTTTGTGTGTCATTAACATTTCCAGGATTGAGTGTTTACTTGCTAATCAGTGGTTTTAAATTTGCAAAGTTGTGCCTTAAATGTCAAAGTATCTTCAGACTGAGATGAATTGTGTGCTGGTAAATTTCTGGTGCATGTTTCTAACAGTGAGAAATGTTATATCTTCTTTTTTTTCCCGTATTATAGGTCAAGAATATCCGGCAATTGTTGAGTTTGCACCATTCCAGAAAATTGCTAAGAAAAGGAGCAAGAAGAAGGATGCAAAAAGTGGAACAATTGAAGATGGTGAAATATATGTATATGTTTTTTACATTTAATTTTTAGCACTGCAAACAATAGTTAATCATTTGTTTACCTGTGTCTTACTAGATGTTGATTACAAAAATTTTTTGGAGTTCTACAATGGTGACGAGGAAAAATTTCCTTCCAACCCTGAGACTTTACTTGAAGAAATAGAGGCCAAGACAAAGGAACTCAGTGGTGAGTTTCAGCACAAAACCTCTAAACAAAACAGTTTTAAATAGTTTTCGCTCTTCATTTGACATAATCATCTGAAATGTTCTTTCCCCAGCTAAAAAAACAACACCTCTATTGGACTTCCTTAAGAATAAACAGGTAAAGTGAGGGTGCAATATTTACTGATTTAATTGCTTTCTTCATTATCTTGACACCCAGTTCATATTGTTTCCACATATAATAGGCCATACTGTATGTGTAGTGTATCCATGCTCTCTCATCCTGTCCTCCCCAGAGGATTAGAGAAGAGAAGAAAGAAGAGAGGAGACGGAGAGAACTCGAACGTAAACGCCTGCGAGATGAAGAACGGCGCAAGTGGAAAGAGGAGGACAGAAGAAAAAGAAAAGAGGCTGAGAAATTGAAAAAAGGAGAAAAGGCTGATAAGGACCAACCTAAAAATGAACTGCCAAAAATCAAGGTACATAACTATCTAAATATTATTGACTACCTAAATTCATTACTGAGTTTCATTACAACATTTTTTAATGTTTTTGAAATAAATATTATATGCTTACCAAAGCTGCATTTATTTGATCAAATATACAAAATAGTAATATTGTAAAGTCTATTTATAGTTTAAAATAATTTTTGTATTTTAATTTATTTTATAATGTAATTTATTCCTGTGATGGCAAGTCATTACTCCAGTATTCATTGTCATAAGATTCTTTAGAAATCATTCTAATATGCTGATTTTGGCTGCTTTCTTATTATTGTAAACAGTTGTGCTGCTTCAGTGCTTCATATTTTTCTGGAAACCATGATACATTTTTTTGGGATTCTTTCATGAATGGAAAGTTTAAAAAACAGCATTTGAGATTGCAAACTTTTGTAACATTATAAATGTCCTTACTAGCACTTTTGATCAATTAAATGCATCCTTGTCTAGTAACAGTTTTAATTTCTTTCTTCTTTTTTTTCCTTACTGATCCCAACTTTTGAACGGTAATAGACTTGTTTTGTTTTGTTTTGCCTTGTTTTGTCTTTCAGCTCTTGAAAAAAACAGAGAAAGCAGGTGATGGTGATGCTGAGAAGCCAAAGGACAAGCCCAAGAAACAAGACCGAGAGAAACAGAAGGAAGATCGACCTCCTGTAGGAGGAGACCCAAAGAAGCGTCAGAATGGTGAACACAGAGAGGAGAAGGGGGGAAAGTAAGTTGGTTGCACTCGACATCCCCAGCCTTACTCAAAACATATTTTACTTTTCAGGTCTAATTTCATATCATGATGTCAATATGCTTTGGCTTTCAGGTCAGAGGATAGTGGGCATAAAAATTTCAGAGATCGTGATGGAGAGCGAGACCGGGACAGAGAGAGAGAGCGAAGACAGAAAGAAAAAGAACGATTCAGAAGGCAGGATGAAGAGCGAAGGAAAAGGGAACGTCAGGATAGAGAAAACACCTACAAAAAGAGAGACGAGGAGGGGAAGAAGGACAAGGAGCGTGTTTGGGAGAAAAGAAAGAATGAAAACGCCGGAGAGTCCTCCGTTAATGCTCACCCTGAAAAGCCATCTAGGGACAACAAAAAAGAAGACAGTGCCAAAAAAGACCGTCTGAGAAACAAGGTCTACCAGTCACACGTTTGAAATAATTACGATTTGTTTTTTTTTATGTTTTCGAAAGAAGTATCTTGGGCTCACAAGGGGTGCATTTTCTTTATCAAATATACAATGAAAAGAGTAATATTGTGAAATACTATAACAATTTAAACTAGTGCTGTCAAACAATTAATCGCATCCAAAATAAAAGTTTTTGTTTACATAATATATATGTGTGTACTGTGTATATTTATTATGTATATATAAAGACACACATACAGCATATGTTTTGAAAATATTTCCCTGTATATATTTATATTAATATAAATTATATCAGATATATATATAAATATATGTAATATATAAACGTAACATATTTTTCTTAAATATATACATGCATGTGTGTCTATTTATATGTACATAATAAATATACACAGTTGAGTACACACACATATATTATGTAAACAAAACTTTTATTTTGGATGCGATTCATTGTTTGACAGCACTAATTTAAACGTTTTTTCTTATTCTAATATGTTTTAAAATGTTATTTATTCCTGTGATTGCAAAGTCTTTATTCCAGTCTTCAGTGTCACATGATCCTTCAGAAATCATTCTAATATGCTGATTTGCTGCTCAAAGTAATACATAATATAAAGAACTATTTCTTAATACAATGTTGAAAACAGTTGTGCTGCTTAATATTTTGAAACTGTGATGAACTACCTTTCAAAACTTTAGGGTTTATATTTGAAATAGATGCTGTTCTTTTGATTGTTCTATTTATCAAAGAATCTTGACTGTTTCCACAAAATATTAAGCAGCAACTTTATTAATAATAGGAACCACTGAGCACCAGTAATAATTGATAATAGAGCACCAAATCAGTATATTAGGATGCTTTCTGAAGGATCATCTGACACAAGACTGGAGTAAAGGCTTTGCCATTACAGGAATAAATTACATTTAAAAATGTATTTAGATAGAAAACTATTATGTTAAATTGTAGTAATAATTCACAATATTACTACTTTTAGTATGTCTTTGATCAAAAAATGCAACCCGAGCATATGTGGATGAGCATTAGTGATGACTTATAAAAACATGAAAAAAGTTGTATGTGTTTAATTTGTATTTCACATATTGCTTGTAATTTTTACATTTCTGTCATAGGATCGGCCTGCAATTCAGCTGTACCAGCCCGGGGCGAGGAGCCGTAACCGGAGCGGAGGAGGAACAGGAGGAGATGAACCGGCAGCAGAGAAGAGAGCTGAGCAGGAGTCCAAGAACACTCAAGAGAAAGCTGCTGAGTGAGGAAACAGCTCTGTGCTGGCATGACATGATATCTCGAGAGAGAGGAGGGGCTCTGTTCTAATCAGGACAAACACCTCAAAAACATAGTGCTGCCATCAAAAGAATATATATGTGTGTACTGTGTATATTTATTATGTATATATAAAGACACACATACAGCATATGTTTTGAAAATATTTCCCTGTATATATTTATATTAATATAAATTATATCAGATATATATATAAATATATGTAATATATAAACGTAACATATTTTTCTTAAATATATACATGCATGTGTGTCTATTTATATGTACATAATAAATATACACAGTTGAGTACACACACATATATTATGTAAACAAAACTTTTATTTTGGATGCGATTCATTGTTTGACAGCACTAATTTAAACGTTTTTTCTTATTCTAATATGTTTTAAAATGTTATTTATTCCTGTGATTGCAAAGTCTTTATTCCAGTCTTCAGTGTCACATGATCCTTCAGAAATCATTCTAATATGCTGATTTGCTGCTCAAAGTAATACATAATATAAAGAACTATTTCTTAATACAATGTTGAAAACAGTTGTGCTGCTTAATATTTTGAAACTGTGATGAACTACCTTTCAAAACTTTAGGGTTTATATTTGAAATAGATGCTGTTCTTTTGATTGTTCTATTTATCAAAGAATCTTGACTGTTTCCACAAAATATTAAGCAGCAACTTTATTAATAATAGGAACCACTGAGCACCAGTAATAATTGATAATAGAGCACCAAATCAGTATATTAGGATGCTTTCTGAAGGATCATCTGACACAAGACTGGAGTAAAGGCTTTGCCATTACAGGAATAAATTACATTTAAAAATGTATTTAGATAGAAAACTATTATGTTAAATTGTAGTAATAATTCACAATATTACTACTTTTAGTATGTCTTTGATCAAAAAATGCAACCCGAGCATATGTGGATGAGCATTAGTGATGACTTATAAAAACATGAAAAAAGTTGTATGTGTTTAATTTGTATTTCACATATTGCTTGTAATTTTTACATTTCTGTCATAGGATCGGCCTGCAATTCAGCTGTACCAGCCCGGGGCGAGGAGCCGTAACCGGAGCGGAGGAGGAACAGGAGGAGATGAACCGGCAGCAGAGAAGAGAGCTGAGCAGGAGTCCAAGAACACTCAAGAGAAAGCTGCTGAGTGAGGAAACAGCTCTGTGCTGGCATGACATGATATCTCGAGAGAGAGGAGGGGCTCTGTTCTAATCAGGACAAACACCTCAAAAACATAGTGCTGCCATCAAAAGAAATCCCCCCACTTTCTGAGAGCACATATCAGTTGCCCTCCAGTGTCTGAACGAGCCCCCCAAAGTTTCTGTTCATGAGCAAGGCAAGTCCTAACCGACGGTTAGATTTGAGAAACGGGGCTTAATCAGGAGAGAAGCCAAAGCGATTGGACCACGATAACTCAAAGTGACCTTACTTTTGGTACACAGCCAAATGTGGTTTACTTCACATGCTTTTCTGTTTCATAGTTTATGAAAGGTCTGATCCAGCTTGCTCATGATTTCTCACTGTTCTGTTTTAGAAAGATCTTCCGCGCCTAACCCAAAACCTACTATCACTTCAGACAATCAGTAGTAAATTTGTGTTCTTTGAGCATGGATGTAGCCTGCAGCTGTTTTAAAGAGCCTGCTGATCTACGATGTTTCTGTTCTGATTAGTCAGGTGGAAAAAGAGCCATGCTTTGTAATGCTGATGCCTTGATCACTGTCAGTTCATTTCTGCAAGTTGATTAAATTATATGCAAAAACAGATGTGGCCTTTTATAGTTTGAAATTGAAGCATATCTTACCACTCAGAAAAATGCAGCTTCTGGTTAGCTTGGTTTGGAAACTGTGCTGCCATCCAATTGTATGTTCCATTGTATCTAATCCTTAACTCAAAACACAGCTTGTTTTCCTTTTATAGTTGCAGCTTTGTCAAAATGTGAAGAGAAATCCAAATAACATTAAATGAACAACCTATGTGTTACTTGTAGTGTTTTGTTTTCTTTGTCCATTACATTTCTTTGGTATAAAAATGTAATTGTTTTCATTCCATGAAATGGGTGCCCTTTATGGGTGCTTTTTATTTAAAAATGTCACTTTTAAAGGAAATTTCTTTGAGATTTCAAGATATCGTAAAGTGTTAATAAATTGCAATTGTGTCGCCTTTTCACCATTTTTATATTTAAGTTTAAATATAGCTAAGACTTTAAAGTTGATAGTATTATGGTTTTAAGTTAATTTAGCCATTAAAAGCCTTGTGCTGGATGTCATTTTATGAGAGACAATTTAATGCTGATATTGCTGAATACTCGCATAAGTTGAAAAAATTGGCTGTTAGCTGTACAAAATAAAAATAAACACAACAACAAAGTAATAAAAAGAGGAGATTGCACAAAAGAATGTCATTATCCCACTTTTCTTAATGTTATTTATTGTACATTATTTTAATTAATAAGGGTCTTAGAAGGGGTTATGATGTTAAATAAGGTCGCACTAACTGGGACAATGTCTATTTGAAACTAAAAGTAGCTTTTATTTTCATATGTTGTTTCTGTAAAATAGGTAATAGAACTATGGACAGCCCAAACAAGAGAGTAAAGTAACTGTTTTGCTTAATGTACAATAGAACAATGCCTGTAATATTACTGTACATCAGAATGCAGAATTGCATGCACAATCTAATTTTCTAAAAGCGAATTGTGATCCGTGGAGCCGCTGGGTGTCGCTGTGACGCGAAGGAGTGGCCCAGTGCGTGACCCGGATATACAATGCTTGCGTTTCCCATGGTTCCTTCTCTTCGACTACCGCCATAGTGGTGAACGGATAGCGATCTGGGAAATGGTAAGTGAAAATCTTCAAACATCCGTAAACAGGTCGTTGTTCTCTTGTAAATCTCTTTATTTTTGTATATCAGTCGAAGGTCTTAGCTCGTGGGATTTAGTATTTGGCAGGTTGGTGTTCGGGAAGTAATAAGATCATTGCCCGTCTTTCCCCGGTGAAGCGACGCTGGATGATAAACTGGAGCCACTGCAGGTTGTGTGACGGTGTGCTTCTCATTTCTGTTTCAGGCGTCGCATAAGACTTTCAGAATCAAACGCTTCCTCGCTAAGAAGCAGAAGCAGAACAGGCCGATCCCGCAGTGGATTAGGATGAAAACTGGCAACAAGATCAGGTATGTTGACAGACTGAACGCTGCTGAGCCATGCCCGCACCTACATTACCAAAGTGCTAGTAGGCCTTGTTTCTGGTTCTGTAGTTCATAGTAGCCTACAAAAGCAGGACGCAATTACAGTGCTCAATTTTGTGGGAGTACTGCCATTATCCTGCTGAGAGTATCCTTCTGCTCTGGAGTCGTGAATACTGTCATGTCCCATATGACATGCGAATGCTCTGTTGTGGAGACACATTTCTTTGGAATATATTTGTGGATTTATTTATTTTTTGCACTAAGGAAGTGCATTGCTGCTGTAATGTTAACAATGCATTAAAGTGATATACCTGGTGTTTATTCCACTATGTTTTGTTGAGAGATTATACTGACATTTGTTTGATGGGTTATTTTGTATCATTGTAAACCCTCTTATTCATGATTTTCTTGGCTGCACTATTGGTAGTTGTTGTGCAATGCAGTTTACTACAAAAGCCTAATGTGTAGTGTAATTTGATTTCAATGTGTGTTTGCCTCTGTGATGCTTTATCTTGGCAAATTTCTTTGCAGATACAACTCCAAGAGGAGACACTGGAGAAGGACCAAGCTGGGCTTGTAAACACTCGGTTTACTTCAGCTTCCCCCTCCGTCTGTTCCCTGCCAGGACCACCAACTCGTCCAGAGCTGGAGAGAAGCCATGCTATCTGGAACAGCAGTCTCTCTTTTGTACAGATGTCCTTGCTGAACAATAAAAGATTTGTCATCGAACCAGAAGTATTCGTATTCTCCTCTTTTGTGAAAATGGCAAATGTCAAAGTTGACATTTTCCAGTGGCTGAATTTGCAACGTTTTGTGCACAAAAAACAGATTTGGTACTAATAAACTTTTACTGCTTTCACTGAGCCTTAATGCTAATTCTCAGAACTGGAACAACCAGTTTAAAGGGTTAATTCGCCCAAAAATGAAAATTCTATCATTAATTACTCGCACGTGTTGATCCAAACCCGTAAGACCTTCTTCATTCATCTTCGGAACACAATTTAAGATATTTTTGATGAAATATGAGGGTATTCTGAAGTAGAGAGCGAAAGTGTAGAGTGTGGAATAAAGTCGTTATTTTTGTTTTCTTTGTGCAAAAATGTATTCTCGTAGCTTCGTAACTTTACAGTTGAACCACTGATGTCACACTGAGTACTTTGTTGATAATCTTGGTACTTTTCTGGACCTTGAACGTGGTAGTTACCTTGCTGTCTATGGGAGGGTCAGAAAGCCCTCATATTTCATTAAAAATATCTTCAATTGTGTTCCGAAGATGAACGAAGGTCTTACGGGTTTGGAACAACACGAGGGTGAGTAATTAATGACAGAATTTTCATTTTTGGGTGAATTATCCCTTTAAGTATATATTTATCTGTCTCTCTCTCTCTCTCTCTGTGTGTATATATATATATATATAAACCTTATATAACCTTAAGGTTAATTTCCAGCAAGAAGTCTTAAATTCATAAGGTCACCCAAGTGCGACTGCAAAAAAAAAAATTTTTTTTTACAGTATTTCTGTTTTTCAACTATTTAATCATTAAATTACTTGACCTGAATATTTAATTTCAGGTGTATTGTGATTAATATAACAAGGGAGTTGATTAGCAAGAGCAAATGTCAATGGGACATGAACAATTATTTTCCAAATTAACTTCTTTTTTTGTTAAATTTGGCAGCTATTTGTTGTTTTAATCAAACTCACTTAATTTTTGAACTTTTTGTAAAGTAAATGTTGTTTCCATATTCTATATAATAATTATTCAAATAATTTAAGCCTTATTTATTAGTAAAATTAATTCAAATAGAGTATTGTGTGTGTGTGTATATATATATATATAAACAAAATACTGGTGAGATGTTCCTTGCAGCTTGGTTTATTAAAAAGATTTATCATATAATACCCAGCACTGTTATAAGGTTAAGCAATTGCCACATTATTAAACATACAAGTTTTATTACTCATAAAGGAGCACATTTCAAGTGTATAACAATAATGACCTGAAGACCTGATTTTGGTAAAGTCTCAGATCTTTTCAAGCAGACCAACATTGTATAACAGCCTCTTAAATAATGAGAATCGCTGGCGTGTGATTCCTCCTGAACAATCCCCCTCAACTCTACTTTCTTGAGTATGTTCCTCAGCTGGTTGTGCTTGACTCGCACTGTTATTCACATTCAAGTACCCTACAGAATGTTCATCATCCCAAGCTCCCAGAAGCTCCTTCATTTCTCTCGGTGCGTTGTCTTTGAGATACTGCCATGCTCTTTTCCCACTGTAGTCCATGACATCTATATTGGCACTGAATGCACCAACCAAAGCCTTCACGACCGTGTACTGGTTATGCATGGCAGCTACATGAAGAGGCGTCAGACCTCCACTGCCTCTCAAGTTCACATTCACTGACAGCCCCTCTTTTTCTGCATGCCTGAGAAGCTGAATCAGTGTCTCGTCCTTTCCATTTTTGGCCAACCAGTGGAGAGCCGTAAAACCACTGATAAAGTCTTTTCTGCTCAATAAACTGGGATCTTCAACGAGAAATTCGAGCATAGTGTCATAATTTCCATCCACAACTGAAAGCATCCAGGCGTGCTCCATAGGATCCAAAGCCCAGAGCGCGCCGCTGTTCAAAGTGTCGCCATACGGAGCCTCCTCCTCCTCTGACGATTTGTGTTTGGATGATAAAATGCTTGACAATCCAGATGTATGATTCAAAAACAACTCTTTCAAATACTTCTTTCGCATAGCGGGTGTGAGGGAGCCCTTCTCCGACGCGTCCACTGACAGTCTGCGGGAGGCGCTGCTGCCCGATTCCTCCAGCTGTCTCTGAAATCTGGATCTGCGCGAGGAGGCGCTTAAAGCAGGAGACACGGGTCGAGGCCCATGTCTTGACAATCGCTCCTCAAGATTTGAGCGGAACTGGCTTGTTAGCATGCTTTTAGGGGAATCTGTAGGCCTATCACTTAAATTATTGCCTGAAGTTTCACAGTCTGAGTCTATTGGCTCTTCTGAGGGCAGTGCTGCTTCTCCCATAGGGTCATTAAAATGTTCCTCAGAGCTGATGGGCCCCTCATACATACTGGCGGATCCCTGGGAAGTGATTTATACTGAGATAAGATCCAAATTGAAGAGGCTTACATAACCAGAGAAAACCATCCTCCTTATAGTCACTTCTCTAGGCTATAAAATGTTCAAACCTGGGTGGGGAAAAGGGAATATATTATGTGTACATTAAAGATGAATAATCTTTATATATTTTGAAGAGGAAAACAACATTTAAGCATGACTCATTTAGTTTTCTCCCTGGGGAAAGAAACGCGCTTCTTCCTCATTCGTGTTCCTCTTTTTACATTTGCTTTTAAAACAAAACATTCCCACTATTGTTTTAGTCCTTCACTCTTTAAGCCCGTAGTTTTGCCTTTTACGTTTTCATAAATGCAGTTGATTTACGTCTGAGTAATGTCTGAAAGGTGCAAATGACATCGAAAGTCATTATTTTCACGCTCTCGTAAAGTTTTACGAGAATTGTACGTTTTATTGATGAATGTGAATGAATAGGCCTACCTGTCTCTCAGGTAATCCATCCGGGTGCTGTATCACCTGTTGTCCGCACAGCTCTTCAAAGCAGGCTATTCTTTCCTCGTCCCTATAATTCAAGTCGTCTCAACCAAATAATTTCCTGCTGGTTATAGGGCTCCACAAACCTTTGAAAGCGTGGTTTCTCTCAGTTTCTCCTTTCTGAGAAGCAGAAAATATTTTCTGTGAGCTAATCGAAACTAGTCGAGTGTGTTTTCCTCACAGTGGCCATTTCCGACGTCCAAACCCTCCCCTCGATAAAGTCTAAAGTTCAAATACCACTGACTAAACCAACACTTGTCTTCAAACCCACGACACTTGCAACTGTTCATTGGCTGATGGAACCGAGAAAAGAAGGCAAAAGATTAATTTTTTTTTTTTTTGCAAACTCGACCCTGCTATATGATTTAATATGAAGAAGGTACTTATGAAATGTTACGCCAGTTTTCAAATAAATCACCTTCCAGCAACATACAAATATAATATTCAGAAATATTCAAATATAACATTTAACATATGCAATGTAAATGAGTCCAATGCCTATATGCATAAAAACGCTAGGCGATGACATTTGAATATTATAATGATATGAAATTATGTTTAAACGGGCTTTGGAATATTACTATTAAACATTTAAGCTAATAGACCTACTTTGCATATTTGCTTAATAATCGTAACATATTGAAATCTTGAATATTTAAAACATATTCTGACACATTTGCGCCATTTGCATCCTTTACTGTGGTTGTTAGACCTGTAGAAATTTAGCGGTTGAGCTGAAGATGAAGAGGACTATACCATTTAATGAATGGGGGTCATATTGATTGTGATTACGATATTTTGATTATCAGACAATTTTGAGTCTTGCAACTATAAAATTATGTGTATTTCGGATATGGGTTAATTCGTGTATAATTATATTTTTAAAACTGTGCAATTACAAAAATAACAGAAGCCGCCATTGCACCAGTCGTGAATGGTACAGTCCATCGTATCTGAGTTCGGCGCTGTAGCTTCGCTTTGCGTGCGCGCTGCAGTTTCCTGTGAAGGCTTGATGCAGGAGAGAGCCATGGCGGCCACTGAGATAGCTCGACAAGCGGTAAGAGCACTGTTTTATTACAAAACTGTGCTTTCGGTTGACCAAACTAGACTGGCGATTGGTGCCAGATATTTTAGCGGGTGTGACATATTGTAGAATCAAATAGGTTTCGATTTTCATTTATTCATGAACGTGATGGCCCATTATCAACAAGCTAATTAATTATACAGTATCTAAACGTCTGTTATTGTTTGTGTACACCATTTGAATGTATAAGCACATTAATTCGTACATTTCTAAATTATACAGTTATATCCATGCAGCTGTTTTGAGGGAAATGGCTTAATGTTGAGGGCCAACAATAACGGGTGAACATCACGGGTTGAAGTGACTAACGTTACGGCTGATGTGTTTTCAGAAACCACGATTAAAAAATAAACAGTCACATTATTGAGCGTCATTGTATTGTAAAATCCATTTATTTCGAGCACGTCTAGTACCGTTATATTTAATTGCATTAGCATCCTTGTGTCCCCTCTCAGCACGCTGGGCGTTGTCTTTCATTAAGTATTTCGTACATTAATGTCAGAAACCGGCGTATAAAACAATTTCAGATGCATTTTGTAGCAGCTGTTCTGTTCATTCTGAGGTCTCTAATGTGAATGCGTAGCTACCAAACATGAGGCAGCAGGCTCGAGCCTGAGCTCAAAATCTGTTAGATATCATAAATGACGTCTACATCAGTCTTTACTTCTCAAACCAAGGGTTTGATCCAATATGTTCTGGTTACAGAGCAGCCAGTGTTGTGTTTCAGTCCTGATGACCCCCTTTGAACTCCTTACAGTTGTCTGGTTTGGGAATGTTGCACATGTGGGTCAGATTGTGACTGTTTGTTCAGTCAATAAGATGCTCTCACAGTCTGACTTCTAGTTGCCTGTTTTGTAGTTAATGAAATGTGCATTTTATGGTTTGTGTTATTCCTCCATAATCCTCACAACAGAACTGATCATCTGCATTGATTGGTTCTCACTGAAATGGATGCACTTTTGATTACCGTATATTGCAGTTTAACTTAATGTTTCCATTTGGATAATGGAACTTTATCACATTAGACCTGTGCTGATTGAATGCTCACTCTCCATTTTTTATTATTTTAGCAGAAATCGAATGATTTGGCATGTTCACTCGGCTGATCGCATAGGTCACACATATACACCAAAGGATATGCTGTAAATGTGGGCAGAAAGCCTTTCCTGCCAGAGTTTTGGCAGGCCAGGTGGCAGACCTGCGTGAACAATGGTAGAGGAAGTGCTGAAGAATAATATGGTGATATTGTTGTTATTGATTTTGTATGATATTTGTGTTATGTTATTTACAACCGCTTTGCTTCATAGGTATCTGCGTTACTTGATAATGGTAACATTTGTCTGCGACTGCAAAAAGGTTTACGTGTCTGTTTGCCTGAATGTGGTTTCGACAGTTGAGATCAGACAGGAAAGAGGAAGTGCACAGATCTGAACTTTTGAGATCTGTACCATAGTATTACAACTTATGTTAAAGATCTTACAATGAGGTGCATGTTTATGTACTTTTACTCACTGAGTTGACAATGTTTCTCTTTGCATCCTCATAAATTAAGGTGCTTGCGAAGACTTTCCATTGCTGAGAGTGAGAAACCGTGCAAATGATCTTTTTTGGTGGAAGTCATCATGCTTGTTTCATTCATATGGCTTGCTTTTATTTCATCTTAGGGAGAAGGTGCACGTGGCGTCCCACTCTCTGGTCATGTTGGCTTCGACAGCATGCCGGACCAGCTGGTCAACAAGTCCGTCAACCATGGCTTCTGCTTCAATATTCTCTGCGTGGGTGAGTGTTTCATGCGGGAGCTCCTTTTTTCCTTGGGGCGAAACTAACCATTTGCTTCGGTGTATGTCACACCCCTTCACTGTGAACGCATACCGATTCTGTCCTGTGACCCACTTACTAATTACTGGTGCACTGATGGAGAGCAGTTGCAGGAACTAGCGATTCAGTTTCATACCCTGATTTCATGTGTGGCTTGCTAACTGGTCAGACTTTCTGTTCTTACTCTCTAAAACACTTAACAAAAAATAGGGGAAATAATCTTTCAGACGATGCTGTTTTGTATGTTATTTGACCTGGTGGTCAGTAAAATATAATACAAACACACCTTCTATGGGAAATAGGCTAGCCTGTGTCATCAAAACTGTCCCTGTATGTTATGATGTGATGATGAAAATGATGTGGGAGTTAGTCCAGGTGTGTGCATGTGTGTTGGTTTGGCAGAGAGACTGTGCCATCTGAATTCGCCTCTTGATTCCAGGAGGTGTTTACTGTTGAGTAAGTTTGGTCTAGCGATGGTGTGTGTATTTCAGTTCAGTGTTGTTTAATGTTGAGTTGTAAAGTTGTAGTTGTTCTAAAATGTATAACAAAGAGGGTGATGTTCACACAAAGCAGCAATGCATTTTGAGTAATCAAAAGTGGGTAGAGGAGGCCAGATGTATGCTTAAACACCACAAGGCAGAGTCCAACTGAAGCAGTGTGCAGCCAGGTTCACCCTTGTTTTTATTAGCAGGTGAGTGACGTCATCTGGCCTATACCTGTATGTCAGTTACAATTCCTAGAATAGCTTACTATTTTAACTGGTAACATGTCAGGGAAAAAGTGTTTCTGTAGGTTAAAAGGTGCTATAACAACACCAGTATGATTACTAGAGAATGCATGAATTGATAAAATGTATATTTTAAATGCAGTGCAAGTAATTTGTGTCTGCTTAATAGATAAACACAAAATGTAATTAGAATATTTAATAAATGTACAGTATTTAAAATCAACACTGTAGTGTATTATTTGTGCATGTTTGCTTATGTTTGAATTTACATTTATAGTAGATATAAGTTACAGATGTAAAATTATGTTTGATGTGGACTGCAAGAGAAAATAAAAATAAAATTTATCATTAGGTTCTTGATCATCTTGTCTTACAAGAACAACAGTGTGATGCAGCAGTCAGTATTTAAAGCTGCAGTCCATAACTTTTGGCGCTCTAGCGGTTAATAAACTGAACTGTGTCTTGCAGAAGAACATTGTAGCTGGAGCTACTTCTTTCTGTTTAGGTCTATGACGAATCACGCAGGTACTGGGCTACTCCACAGTGGTACCTACCCAAACCAGTCTAAAATAGTCGGAATATAAACACTTATTATAGGTGTACTGTGGTGATTCAGGACAAGCCAAAAACATGGTTTGGAAAATGGATTTATTTAACTTAATGTTTCCATTTGGATAATGGAACTTTATCACATTAGACCTGTGCTGATTGAATGCTCACTCTCCATTTTTTATTATTTTAGCAGAAATCGAATGATTTGGCATGTTCACTCGGCTGATCGCATAGGTCACACATATACACCAAAGGATATGCTGTAAATGTGGGCAGAAAGCCTTTCCTGCCAGAGTTTTGGCAGGCCAGGTGGCAGACCTGCGTGAACAATGGTAGAGGAAGTGCTGAAGAATAATATGGTGATATTGTTGTTATTGATATTGTATGATATTTGTGTTATGTTATTTACAACCGCTTTGCTTCATAGGTATCTGCGTTACTTGATAATGGTAACATTTGTCTGCGACTGCAAAAAGGTTTACGTGTCTGTTTGCCTGAATGTGGTTTCGACAGTTGAGATCAGACAGGAAAGAGGAAGTGCACAGATCTGAACTTTTGAGATCTGTACCATAGTATTACAACTTATGTTAAAGATCTTACAATGAGGTGCATGTTTATGTACTTTTACTCACTGAGTTGACAATGTTTCTCTTTGCATCCTCATAAATTAAGGTGCTTGCGAAGACTTTCCATTGCTGAGAGTGAGAAACCGTGCAAATGATCTTTTTTGGTGGAAGTCATCATGCTTGTTTCATTCATATGGCTTGCTTTTATTTCATCTTAGGGAGAAGGTGCACGTGGCGTCCCACTCTCTGGTCATGTTGGCTTCGACAGCATGCCGGACCAGCTGGTCAACAAGTCCGTCAACCATGGCTTCTGCTTCAATATTCTCTGCGTGGGTGAGTGTTTCATGCGGGAGCTCCTTTTTTCCTTGGGGCGAAACTAACCATTTGCTTCGGTGTATGTCACACCCCTTCACTGTGAACGCATACCGATTCTGTCCTGTGACCCACTTACTAATTACTGGTGCACTGATGGAGAGCAGTTGCAGGAACTAGCGATTCAGTTTCATACCCTGATTTCATGTGTGGCTTGCTAACTGGTCAGACTTTCTGTTCTTACTCTCTAAAACACTTAACAAAAAATAGGGGAAATAATCTTTCAGACGATGCTGTTTTGTATGTTATTTGACCTGGTGGTCAGTAAAATATAATACAAACACACCTTCTATGGGAAATAGGCTAGCCTGTGTCATCAAAACTGTCCCTGTATGTTATGATGTGATGATGAAAATGATGTGGGAGTTAGTCCAGGTGTGTGCATGTGTGTTGGTTTGGCAGAGAGACTGTGCCATCTGAATTCGCCTCTTGATTCCAGGAGGTGTTTACTGTTGAGTAAGTTTGGTCTAGCGATGGTGTGTGTATTTCAGTTCAGTGTTGTTTAATGTTGAGTTGTAAAGTTGTAGTTGTTCTAAAATGTATAACAAAGAGGGTGATGTTCACACAAAGCAGCAATGCATTTTGAGTAATCAAAAGTGGGTAGAGGAGGCCAGATGTATGCTTAAACACCACAAGGCAGAGTCCAACTGAAGCAGTGTGCAGCCAGGTTCACCCTTGTTTTTATTAGCAGGTGAGTGACGTCATCTGGCCTATACCTGTATGTCAGTTACAATTCCTAGAATAGCTTACTATTTTAACTGGTAACATGTCAGGGAAAAAGTGTTTCTGTAGGTTAAAAGGTGCTATAACAACACCAGTATGATTACTAGAGAATGCATGAATTGATAAAATGTATATTTTAAATGCAGTGCAAGTAATTTGTGTCTGCTTAATAGATAAACACAAAATGTAATTAGAATATTTAATAAATGTACAGTATTTAAAATCAACACTGTAGTGTATTATTTGTGCATGTTTGCTTATGTTTGAATTTACATTTATAGTAGATATAAGTTACAGATGTAAAATTATGTTTGATGTGGACTGCAAGAGAAAATAAAAATAAAATTTATCATTAGGTTCTTGATCATCTTGTCTTACAAGAACAACAGTGTGATGCAGCAGTCAGTATTTAAAGCTGCAGTCCATAACTTTTGGCGCTCTAGCGGTTAATAAACTGAACTGTGTCTTGCAGAAGAACATTGTAGCTGGAGCTACTTCTTTCTGTTTAGGTCTATGACGAATCACGCAGGTACTGGGCTACTCCACAGTGGTACCTACCCAAACCAGTCTAAAATAGTCGGAATATAAACACTTATTATAGGTGTACTGTGGTGATTCAGGACAAGCCAAAAACATGGTTTGGAAAATGGATTTAAGATGAACTTGCTTATTATATAAATTGAAAATGGTTTGTAAAGTCAACAGTATGCTATGGGGAAATGTTTATGGCAAACTGTGAATCCGGCATATGATGCCGTCCCTAGGGCTGTGTATCGTTCAAAAATTTTTGATACCGATACCTTGACTTCGATTCCGGTTCCTGAACGATACTTTTTTAGATACCAGTTTTATTAAATCAATTTGAGCAAGATTACATTATCTAAAAAAAAAATAATTTTGGTTTCATTTTTCAGCTTGTTGATGTTTATACAAACTCAAAGACTCCTCTCCTGAGCCACTGCACAAAGGAACAAAATGTAACCAACAGAATAAATCAGTGCAAATTGTTTTAATAAAGCTCAAATAATCTTCAATTTACACATCTGTTAGGCTACATTTACACTAGTCAGTGTTCTTTTAAAATGCATAGCTCAGACAGAATCATGATTTCTATTTATTTTCCACTGATTTACCGATGAGCATTAGCAGCTTCCAGTGCTGTCTGCTTGTGTTCTCTCTTCCATGATCGCTGCTATGACAGGTAATGACAGGTAATAACATTTAATTTCAGCAACTGCGCTACTCTCCTTTGGAAATGAATGACTGAATGACCGGTCTGTCGTTTGTCGGAGATAGTGGAAAGCCGGCTTGAAACGCAGTGGAAACGCCAGTATGACGAGGATCGTTTTCATTTTAAAACATAAATGCACCAGTGTAAATGTAGCCTTACATCTATGGGGGCTGGGACTGTCAAACACTGATCGATCTGTCGTGTGTTGCAGGCTTATTGGCTTACTGACGCTGATGAGATTAACCCCTTAGATATCGAAATTTGGTACTGAACGATGAGACGTTTTTCGATACTCGATTGTATCGAGGCAATTCGGTCGGTGCCTAAAAATTATCGAACTCGATACCCAGCCTTAGCCGTCCCCTCACTAAGCCAATATGCCAATAACCCAAGTAAAATTCTAGCTAAATCTTGTGCCTGTGGTACAATGAAGTCTTCATGCTTTTGTTATTCACTTTGCCTTTTGAATTATTTATATGAAGGCAGCATTGTTTCAGATTCTTTGTTAGCATCCCTTAAAGTTCAGGGCATCTTCCAGGGCTTTTATCCCATTTCTGCTAAAGCTCTAAGGAGGTAATGACAGAACTCTAGAAACTAGTGTAAAGGGAATTTGGCAAATGGCAAGGGACTGTTGTCTAGCAGGCCTCTCTCTCTCCTCTCTTCATTCCTGATCATTCATATGCAGGTTCAGCTTCAGTGCTTCAGGTTTAGTAAATGCTGAGTGGTTTGGCATGCTGTAAATATCACGCCATAATCTGTAAAGTCTGGAGAAGAGATGAGATGCTTGTGATTAGTGATCGACCGATATTGATTTTTTTATTACCGATACCAATTATTTGCATGTGTATGTGCCCGATAACCGATATGCAGAACTGATATTTATTTACTGTTATAAAGTAAGAACATACTTCACTTTGGTTTTCCTCTTTAGTCGTATTTTTTTTTTAAGTGTTGAAAATTAGCAGTCTTTCATGTTAAATTTAATCTTCATATTACAACAATAAAAAACATTTTATTTATAAAAAGCATCAACAGAAACAACATTAACAATAAGCAAAATAAATGTAGAATGTCTGATGTTTTCAAATGGAGAAAATAAATAAAGGACAGGAGTCGGATCAACTTCATTTTAAACTACAGTTTTAGTAGGTTTATAAGCTGTTTAATAGCTACGAAGTCAAGAATAATTCACTGGATAATGTTAATTCACTGAATACTATTCTCTGGAATATTGGAATATAACAAACAAAACATCGTATTTTATTGCATTTCTCAACTGGTATGTTATATCAGAATTATTAATAATGTTTTTGTCCTTCTAGATTATGAAATGCCTACTGACAGCGCGGTTTATCTATGCAGTTACACAGAACTATACTCAAACGGAGATCGCTCGCGGAGATAATAAATAATTTCCATGGAGTTCTATATATTTAGATGTTTATTAGCGAAATAATGGTTATATAGTAAATGTTAATACAATTTAGGGTGTTTTAAACAAGTGAATCTTGTTAATAGTTACATGCGGTGGCCGTGCTGGAGCATTTCCTGAGCATCAACCGTATCAACCCGGTGAGTGAACAGCAATATAAAAGCGGCTTCACAAGTCTAATTATGAGCAAACATACAACAGAGAGAGAGAATTCAATTCAGGGCTTTTATTTCCAACACGCGCTCATTCATGGCTGTATTATTTAACTTGTGCAAAGTTACGTCTTTATTGGGAGAGGATCTTAACGGATTATCTACGTGACTCCAACTTCATGAGACTATCGATGAGCATAGACAACAGAGAGAGAGAATTCAATTCAGCGCTTTTATTTCCAAAATGCGCTCATTCATGGCTGCATATTATTTAATTCAGGCAAAGTTATGTCTTTATTGGGACAGGACTTGACGGATTATCTTACATGACTCCGTGAGTTGGTCTCTATTTCTTAGAGCCAAGCTACATAAACTACATATCAGGCATTTATGAAATGCATCTAATTTGTGCATAAATGGCTGTTATGTTTAATAAAGTTTACTAACTACAGCAAATCAAGTGCCTGCACGCCGTTGTTGTTGTCTCGTCTCCTCTCAGACGTGCTGCAATGGCAATCCTGCGCACAATTCTCAAAACACCCACAGGATGGCGGCGTTTATCGGTGAATCCGATATTACAAAACCGATATCCGATTATGGTAAAATGCTTAAATATCGGGAAAAATATCGGTAAATCGATATATCGGTCGATCTCTACTTGTGATTCATATAGCCATCATCTTTGATTGAGTTATGTGATTATCAGTGTGTGTGATGCCTGCGTTGCCTTTAATTCAGTTTCAGGATTTTCATACCTTGTGATAGTCACTGCTCATCAGCATTTGATCTGGGTAGAAAATCGCTGCTTTATTTTTAGGTGTCAGACGAGGCTTTTTGCTCTTGCCTGTAGTGAGGGGCCCGTGGGAATGGGATCTGCAGGTTGAGTTTATGAAGAAATGGCAAATGTGAGCCAGACATATAATTAACATTCTGGTGGTGTTGCATGATGTCCATTTCTACTGCGCTTGTGGTTGTCAGGAAAGCAAGAATAGAATCATTAGGCAGACTGAGCCAGGATTGCTGCATGGCTTTTAGACTTTTTTAATAGCTACGAAGTCAAGAATAATTCACTGGATAATGTTAATTCACTGAATACTATTCTCTGGAATATTGGAATATAACAAACAAAACATCGTATTTTATTGCATTTCTCAACTGGTATGTTATATCAGAATTATTAATAATGTTTTTGTCCTTCTAGATTATGAAATGCCTACTGACAGCGCGGTTTATCTATGCAGTTACACAGAACTATACTCAAACGGAGATCGCTCGCGGAGATAATAAATAATTTCCATGGAGTTCTATATATTTAGATGTTTATTAGCGAAATAATGGTTATATAGTAAATGTTAATACAATTTAGGGTGTTTTAAACAAGTGAATCTTGTTAATAGTTACATGCGGTGGCCGTGCTGGAGCATTTCCTGAGCATCAACCGTATCAACCCGGTGAGTGAACAGCAATATAAAAGCGGCTTCACAAGTCTAATTATGAGCAAACATACAACAGAGAGAGAGAATTCAATTCAGGGCTTTTATTTCCAACACGCGCTCATTCATGGCTGTATTATTTAACTTGTGCAAAGTTACGTCTTTATTGGGAGAGGATCTTAACGGATTATCTACGTGACTCCAACTTCATGAGACTATCGATGAGCATAGACAACAGAGAGAGAGAATTCAATTCAGCGCTTTTATTTCCAAAATGCGCTCATTCATGGCTGCATATTATTTAATTCAGGCAAAGTTATGTCTTTATTGGGACAGGACTTGACGGATTATCTTACATGACTCCGTGAGTTGGTCTCTATTTCTTAGAGCCAAGCTACATAAACTACATATCAGGCATTTATGAAATGCATCTAATTTGTGCATAAATGGCTGTTATGTTTAATAAAGTTTACTAACTACAGCAAATCAAGTGCCTGCACGCCGTTGTTGTTGTCTCGTCTCCTCTCAGACGTGCTGCAATGGCAATCCTGCGCACAATTCTCAAAACACCCACAGGATGGCGGCGTTTATCGGTGAATCCGATATTACAAAACCGATATCCGATTATGGTAAAATGCTTAAATATCGGGAAAAATATCGGTAAATCGATATATCGGTCGATCTCTACTTGTGATTCATATAGCCATCATCTTTGATTGAGTTATGTGATTATCAGTGTGTGTGATGCCTGCGTTGCCTTTAATTCAGTTTCAGGATTTTCATACCTTGTGATAGTCACTGCTCATCAGCATTTGATCTGGGTAGAAAATCGCTGCTTTATTTTTAGGTGTCAGACGAGGCTTTTTGCTCTTGCCTGTAGTGAGGGGCCCGTGGGAATGGGATCTGCAGGTTGAGTTTATGAAGAAATGGCAAATGTGAGCCAGACATATAATTAACATTCTGGTGGTGTTGCATGATGTCCATTTCTACTGCGCTTGTGGTTGTCAGGAAAGCAAGAATAGAATCATTAGGCAGACTGAGCCAGGATTGCTGCATGGCTTTTAGACTTTTACACACAGATTATGCGGGTTAAAATCTGAAGTGTCGGCATCAGCAAAATAGTGCACTTTTGTATTAAAGCTGATGTGTATAATTTTGGTGCTAAAAAGTCCTTCTATTCCTGTCCATTATGCAGAGACAACTATAATATAGCAAACTTTATTTAATTATTTAAAATATCCTATACGCCTTTATAGAAAAAATAATTAAGAATTGTGTATGTACATAGTAATATTTTTAAAGGCTTAAATTAAGAGCCTGGTAGCTTATTGCTGTGTTTCTTCCAGGCGAGACGGGTTTGGGAAAGTCCACCCTCATGGACACCCTGTTCAACACCAAATTTGAGGGTGAACCTACACAGCACAATCAGCCTGGAGTTCAGCTCAAATCCAAGACTTACGAGCTGCAGGAGAGCAACGTTCGTCTCAAGCTCACTGTCGTCAACACTGTAGGCTTTGGAGATCAGATCAACAAAGAGGACAGGTGAGGAAACCAATGCTTTAGCTGCTTTAAACAGAGAAAAAAATTAATCATATGATGATCTAGAATGTTAGTTATAAGCTTCCACTGGTACGTTTATCATTTGATTATAAGTAGAATATGCTTACTAATACTTAAAGGGATAGTGCACCCAAAAACAAAAAATTGCTGTTAATTGACTCACCCTCAGGCCATCTGAGATGTGACTCTTTTTTTCTTCAGCAAAACAGTAAAGAAGATTTTTAGGTGAAACCGTTGTTCTTGACAATTCACCAAATTTTCGTTTTTGGGTGAACTATCCCTTTAATAATGCATGGAAATTTGTTGTTGGATTTAATTGTGTCAATATGTGTGAAATATTTTATTATAATAATTTATTATTATTATATATTAAACTCAGCCTGATATGTTTCATAATAGATAATAAACCTCAGATGAGAAACTAAGATCAGCTATATTTGTCATTAGTCATGACTGCAAAGAACATTGTCTTGGATTATTATTATTATTAGGGGTTCAAGCACGCAGTGCTGAAACCCTATTGTAATTGTTAGGATTTTTTTTTTTTTTTTTAATTATTATTCTTCTCCCCTAAAACTGATCGTGCAGACCAAACCGTAAGGCCTAGAGACTTGAAACTTGGCCAAATGATAGAGCTCAATTTGGGGAGAACCTATCAAAGTCTCAGCCCAATCGGCCAATAGGTGGCGCTACAGCGCAAAAACCTAAAATTTCAGACATTTTTGGCCCTAACTCGTGCACCTTTTGTCGTAGACTCAAAAATTTTACATCGTTGCGATCCGGAGGCACTCAGATTTTCTCTAGGACGCACGGTTTTTCCGTAAAATTGACCTATATCCCAAACTTACTTTTGCGAACTCTTGACTGAAACAGCATGTCATTAAGCTGAATGGTTGTGACAAGCTTTATTTTGCCTGCAGATGCGCTTTTATGAGTCTTGAGCTATTCAACTATTTATAGATGCCTGAAACAGTGCCTTTTCCCCTCAAAGCTCATAGAGTTTTATTACAATCTGTCATAAGACTGAAGCTTTAAACTCTTTGTACATTAACAGTAATCTACTTGTTTTTTTTGGCCGCAAGTAATTATTTAAACTTCTTTCATTGTTCAACTTGAAGTTACAAATCTATTGTGGAGTTCATCGATGCTCAGTTTGAAGCATACCTTCAGGAGGAACTGAAGATTAAACGCACCCTACACAGTTATCATGATACACGGATCCACGCCTGTCTGTATTTCATTGCTCCCACTGGACACTCACTAAAGTCCCTTGACCTGGTTACTATGAAGAAGTTGGACAGTAAGGTTAGTGATGCTTTTTATTAAAAAAAATTTTTTTGATCACACCTAAGTTTGACCAGTATAATGATATGGTCAGCGGTAGAAATATCTTCATCGATGCAGTATTTTAATTAAAAATACACTACTTCATGACTGTAATTTATACATTTGTTTTAATTCTAGCAAATACAACTATAATTTAACTAATAATAACAGTAACGTCTACTCCATATATGTGGCTTAGCATTATTTATTGTTTCACTGTGCACAATGGTTGATGTGGGTTATTAAGCATTCAGCTGATGGCTAAACTATGTTTAATGTCATTGGAGCTGTGTAGATGGAGTCAGTGAAGGTCAGCTGTGTAATACTGCATTCTCTTTCATCTCTCTCTGTGGTGCACAGACACCCTGAGCAAAGATGCTCTCTTGGATCTGAAGCTGAGCCTAACAGTTGCCTCGTATGCTTGAGAAGAGATGCCTGTGTACTCGCACTGTGGCTAAACCTTTATTTAAAGTGCCTGTGTGAACCTCACAATTCATCAGTAGTAAATTACAGGAAACAGACAAAGTGTAAAGCTAGTGGCCAGGCTACTGAGAATAGTATTTAGATGGTGGTGTGGGTGGCAGGGAGTGTAAAAACTGAGTGAGTGGGATCAGAGCTCTCCATGTGTGTGTGTGTGTGTGTGTGTGTGTGAGAGTGAGAGAGAGTCATGAGTGGAGCTGTGGAGGAGGGGTGTTTGATTATCCCCCCCATTAGCATGGTTAGCACTTATCCTGCATTGGTAGTTAATATCCCCCACGAGACCTGAGATTAAAGGAATAATTAATCCAAAAAATCCTTCAAGTTGTTCCAAAACTGTCTTTCTTTTGTGGAACACAAACGAATTTTTAAAGAACATCCAGGCCATTTTTTATATATAATGTATAATGAAAGTGAATGGAGACAGAGGTTCTCCAACTGAACTACCTCTTTAAATGTCCTCTCTGAATTGGTTTCAAAGTGAATATCAAATAGCTGCATATGCTTAATTCTGAGGTAAATTCAGATGCATGTTGAGCATGTTGAGCTTATGTAAGCTTTCACAGCATTCTATGGAGTTCATTTTAATTGCATTAGCTGCTCCTAATTAAAAATTTAAAAAGAGATGTCTGTTTGTGCAGATACATGTCTGCAGCAGCCTCTGCACATAAAGTAAATGCAGTCTTTTTCAGCACTCTGTGTGCCATTTAATCAGTTTGCTCAGGCGTAAAATAGGAGAGAAGCCGAGTATCTATATTTATCTGGACTTAGCCAGATGTTTTGAGGTTGCTTTGAGTTGCTTACATCTGTATTTAGTAATTTACTGCCTGAGTGGTTGAAAGTTAGCTGTCTGAAAGGGAAATGTTTACTCACTAGAGCTGTTTGGGGTTTTATATGCACTTTATTTGGTATCTTAATTCATGTGTATATAAATTGATTTTATTTCCGATTACTGATTATTCCCAAATGCCTACAAAAAGTCTTTCTCCTCTTATGTACAGGTGAATATCATCCCTATCATTGCCAAATCAGATGCCATCTCAAAGAGTGAACTTGCTAAGTTCAAAATTAAGATCACAAGTGAGTTGGTGAGCAATGGCGTCCAGATATACCAGTTTCCCACTGACGATGAGACTGTGGCAGAGATCAACTCAACTATGAATGCAAGTAAAAATTTTAGTTTTCATCCAAAACCGTTTTGAAGGGTCAAAATCATTGAGTCTGTGTTTTACGTGTTCACACAACATGGATACATTACTCAATTATTGTTTAAACCATAGGAAAATGTCAATAAAATAAAACAACTTGATAAAACAACTTACCTCAGAAAAAAACAGTCAATGTCCAAAATATTTGTCAGCTGGAAAAAATTACTTTAGGAAGGAGAATTTTAATTAATTGTATTACATACTCATTTTATTTTCATTATTTTTTTATGTCTTTCATTATTTCATTATGTCTTTATTATTTAACGTATAGGCTACTTGAATAAATCATTTAAATTTCACAACAAATAAAATTGGAGTAGAAACATGAAATGATTTGATTAATTTATCGATTATTAAATAAACTTGTTTTTGGTTTTCAGGAAGATGAAAATGTGATTTTTGGTTTAAGTTCAGTTACGATGTTACATGCACTAAACATGATGTTCTTTTAATGTGAATGGAGTAATAATTATTAATATTGCTTATATAAAAAAACAGGCTCCTAACCCTGAAGTATTAAGCTTTGATGTGTAACTCATCCTACATTGTATGTGTTTCTGATATGAGTGATACCTAGAATTGTGCAGATAGTTGAGAAAAGGTTTTGCCTTTGTGTTTCTACATCTAAAATCTAGTTACTATGTGCTATATAAGAGAACAAAACAGACTTAAAGTATTTTGTATTATTTGATTACAGAAATAAGATTAAGAATGATGCATTACTCTTCCACTTGAAATCCTTTTACATAGAATCAATCATAAATGTACTATGTCCTGTTTTGCTTGGAGAAAACACAGCCATATTTTATACTTCAGCGCTTGTCCAGTTCTCATTTCACATCACAGTTCAACAGTTTAAGTGAGAAAGAGTCCATATGGTGTCCAGCTTTCCTGCTTGTTTGCTCACAGGAAATGACACCACAAAAGGAGAGGCATTCTTCTTCAGTGGACTCACAACAGCACACTCGTATAGAGCAGGCTGAATGAATGAATGTCAGTTCACCAAACAGTCTGTGCCTGCGGGGTTGCTGTGGAGGTCTTCCAGTACTGGTTAACCACTGAAAACAAAGATAGCTGACCTCAGGTCCCTTCCCACTCATTTCAAGTGGGATGTGCCCTCATATGTTTTTCTCAGTGGTTTTAAAGGCCATTCTTGTTTAGTAAATGTTATCTTAACAAGGTCATTTCTTTATGAGGGTTTCGCCACTGTGAGATGAGATGTAGTACTACTAAAGTATGGAGGTGGATGCTGTGTTATTCCTCTGTTATTGCTCTCTTAGAACCATACTGATTGACTGAAGAATGCATTTAGTTAAACTACTGTTTAGAAATCTTTAGAAAGCTGAGTTTTCAGCAGCCATTACTCCAGTCTTTAATGTCACATTATCCTTCAGAAATCATTCTAAAATGCTGATTTGGTGCTCAAGATTTTTTTTTATTATCAATGTTGAAAACCGTTGAGCTGCTTAATATTTTTGGGTAACCCGTGATAAATTTTTTCAGGATTCTAGAAAGTTACACAGAACAGCATGTATTTGTTAATGAAATGGATTTAAATGTTGCATAATCAAGTCTGTTACTGTCGGAACTTAAAATAGATTGGAGTATTTCTGCTAAATGATTTGTTTGTGGGGGGTTTTTTGTGCTCTGCAGGGTCATTTGCCTTTTGCAGTGGTGGGAAGCACTGAGGAAGTGAAGATTGGGAACAAGATGGTGCGAGCACGCCAGTACCCTTGGGGAACTGTCCAGGGTAAGTGCTGGTCACGTCTTCTAAAGGAAATGACACTAAGCTCTTCCCTCTGTTTGGCCCTGGCCTCTTTGTTCAGGACATCCAAACCCATCCCGTCCCTCTCTTTCTGCAGCGCCTAGCCTGGACACTCCCTTTCAACACACCATCATCTTTCTCTCTTGCATATTTTTTCACAGCAGGGCAGAATGCTAATGTATTAGGGCTGTCAGAATGAGAAACTGAGCTGTAATTTCCTTGTGACTAATCACTGTGGAGCAACAGGAAAATTATGTCAGTACAGCAGTGATTGGTTGATGGCACCACAAACTCAATCCCTTAGTGCAGCCTATCCCAAACTGTATTCTATGTAAATATATTTTAAAACATAATTTATTCCTGTGATGGCAAAGCTTTTCAGCAACCATTATTCTTGTCACATGATCCTTCAGAAATTATTTTAATATGCTGATTTGCTGCTCAAACATTTATTATTCCTGTCAATGTTAAAGAATGTTAAAGTACATACACATATTGCAGTGTCTTTTTGTCTTAAATGAAAAAGAGGATTTACAGTACAATGATGATAATTTGTCATGTTCTGTAAGCTGTACAAATCCAGCTCACTTCATTCACAATTTGTCCTGTCAGTCTTCGTTAACGTGTGGTATGCATGCAGTGATTTGATGCGTAACATTATAGCAGCAGTGCTCTGACTGGCCTCAGGCTGTCTGTGACATCACTCTGAATCTCTCTCACTCTCTCTATCAGCGCATGAAGCCACTTTTTTTTTGAAGACTAATTAAAGCACTTTTGTAACAAATGTATTCAAAGTGTTATCCACAGCTCATGCAGTATATGGTATGTACATATACTGTAGTAGCTGTATAGCTGGTCTAGATTAAACGATCAAATGCATCCAAACATTTTTTTAAAAAGAGTCAGTGGTTACTTCTATTAATTGAACTATTTTACAGTAGATTTGTGTGTTTAGTAACATATACTGACTCTGTGGTGTTCACGTCACAGCTTCATGAAAAGTTTGACCGTCTCAAGAAGCTTCACCAGGATGAGAAGAAGAAACTAGAGGACAAGAAGAAGGCTCTTGATGATGAGCTAAACGGCTTCAAGCAGAAGAAGACGGCTGCTGAGCTGCTGCAGGCCCAGACCCTGCAGGCAGGGAGCTCCGCCACACTCAAGAAGGATAAAGAGAGGAAAAAGTAAGTATTGACCTCTACATGGTTCCTAACCCTCACAACCTTCCCTTCCCGGGATACCAGAAGATCACAATGCAGGAGAACATGTGTGAACATCTGTACGTGTGTGTGCATTTCACTGAACGCTCAAGTAATATTGCAAGGAACGTTAAATTTAGATAATGAATAATAGAAATGGAGTTGATAGTGCAGTGATGTGAAAATGAAAGTTCTAGTTTGAGTATATACACTACTGTTCAAAAGTTTTAAAAATATATATATTTTTTTTAAGAAAATATTTTTATTCAGCAAAGATGCATTAAATTAGATGTTAAATTAAAGATTAGGTTTGTTTAAAATAAATGCCTTTAAAAAAAAAAAATCACTTTTTCCACAAAATATATTAAACGGCATAACTTTTCAACACTCAAAATAATGAATGTTTCTTGAGAACCACATTTGCATATTATAAAGATTTTCTTGTCATCAATATTTGTATCAGTAATAAAGGGCCTTTCATAAACCTTTAAACTGTGGGAAAGTCATTGTGTATGAAAATCAGACAATTCTACATTTTATTATTTGCATTATTCATAAAAGTGTGACTGAATGTTTATGCACTCAGGGTGAGCGTATATAATGAGACTAATCATTCATCTGAATTTATTTTCTAAAGTTTTGGCCTGTATTCTCAAGTGACGTGTTTTGACCACCACCACAAGTCAAATGACATAAACGTCATTATAAGATCCTTGCATGAGGAAGTTTAGTCTAGGCAAGTTTTCGGAGTCACTGCAGGAAATGCCAGGTTCATTTTGAGTTTCTCAATGATGTTTTCAAAGCGACGATTAAAGATAGACTGTTCAGCAAAATCAAAGTGATTCTGTTGGTTCTGTGCTGGATGACAGTGTTTTGTATTGTATCTGGATGCTGGTCTTTCATCAGGTGGTATTGATGTGATTGATATTTATAATCTATTAACGCTTTTGCTCCCTCCAGTGTCCCTGCTCACTGCCGTGTGTGTATTTACTTTCCTTTGCAGTAATCCCTGGCTCTGCACTGAGTAGTATGGCTTTGATAAGGGACCAGGCCCAGACTCTTTGGTTAACCGGTACCCCGAGGCTAAGGGGAGGCAGTGTGGACCAAGCCCTCTGCGTTTCTTATAAATCACCTCTTGTATTTTGATTTTTGGGCTCTTTCTGCAGCTTTTACTAACATTTGTATTTATTGTGTTACCAAAACCTTTGCTTAAGGCTGTGCTTTTTTTTTGCGGTGTGTGATTTTTGATGCTTTGTGTGACTAATATTCTTAAAGGGAATAGTTCACCCAAAAATTTAAGTTTGCTAAACCTTTAATCACTTCAGGCTATCCAGGATGTAGATTAATCTGTTTCTTCATCAGAACAGATTTGGATAAGTTGCCATTACATCACTTGCTCACCAATGGATCCTCTGCAGTGAATGGGTGCCGTCAGAATGAGAGTTCAAACGACTGATCAAAACATCACAAGTAATCCACACCACTCCAGTTCATCAAAGTTTTCACCCATTCACTTCAGAGAATCCATTGGTGAGCTAGTAATGCAATGCTAAATTTCTTCAAATCTGTTCCGATGAAGAAACAAACTCCTCTACATGAGGGAGAGAAATTATTTAGGGGGGTGAACTATTTCTTTCAAATTTGTGCCTCTTCAGAGAAGTGGGGAGGGCAAATGCAATCATTATAATCACTGTCCCAGTTAATCTGTTTTATTCTTCACTAAGTTTTAGATTAGGTTAATGTTGACCACAGTTTTAAATGGAGAATGCAAGATGAGCTAATCCATGCACATTTAAAAGCAAATGCACAATGCATTTGAAGCAAGGCAGAAGGACGGTGTGTTCCTATCCGCCCTCATTCCGAATGCTTCATGCTTTTGGCTGGCAAAAGAAAAAACCGAGTGCCCATTTCCAATTGACTGATATAAACTTGTCTTCCCACTGGTGCTGTTGAGTTTAGTGGCCTCCTGATACTTTCTCTAATCTGCGTTTGTCTCCTCTCTTCTTCTAGCTTCTTTTAACTCTGTCTTGGCCACCTGTTGGAAGAGGGGATTGCAGCTTCCACAAGAACTAAGCAGCCACTCTTCTTCCTATCTTTTTCACTCCGTCAGCCTTGTTTGAATATTTTATTTAATTGTTTTAATTTTATTTTTAAACTTTCATGCTGTGTGCCCTGTTGAACATGGCCTTATGTGGGCTTAACATGGTATTTTTCAACAAATATTAGCTCTGTTTCCTAATTAGGGCATGCTAAGCAGTCCCTCATTAGTATTTTTACAGACATCGTTTGCTGGTGACACCAGATCCAAAGCTCTAGTAGAAAGGCTGTGAACTAAAGGAATGCTTTGGAGTTTTTTCAATTACGCTTTTTATGTCTATGATATTGCCTTGCCGTCTCAATCTGTTCAATTAAACAATCATTTTGTTTCTTTCACGAATACATGTTTGTCAATGAACCTGCATGTCCTCATCAAAATTAACACGGTGTTAACTGTGAGGAACGAACGGATACTAACTTATTTGCAAACACTATGTATAATTTAGGGTGTGAATTAAGCGGAGTAAGATTATCTTTAATAAGACTTGAAAACATTTTGACACGCTGGCTGTGAATTGAGAAAATCCAAAGAAAATGGGCCCGAAAGTTCCTGTTAAGCAAGAGACGTTTAATTGTAATTTAATGCAAATCTTTATTTGAAAGCATGAGGTAAATATAAGCAAAATCTGAGAGGTTTGTATTGTATGTTTTGTAATGCCCTATACATTTAAAGTCGTAAATAGTTACACCAATATAGTTATACACTTTATTTAAAATATAATCTTAAAGAATAATGACACCTATTGAAATACCATGTAGGTCACATTCAGTGCCACTTTTTATATTCTTTATCTTCTGTTCTTTTGCATGCCCTGAACATATTTTTGTTTATATATGGAGTTATTCTTTGCTTCGACATATGTACACTTTCTTTTTATTACATGTATTTATTCCAGGTACAATGTGCAGTTACATTCAATTTCCATTTTGTCAAATATTGTATTTAGATATGTCAAGGGTTTTCATTCATTTCATTTAAAATAAGTCCGTTATGAGGTACAGACAGTCATGCATATGTGCAGTACATATCATTTATAAGGACCTATTTTGCTTAGCAATGTCAAGACATGTTTTTTGACAAGTGACTGTTTTCTGTGTGAAACATTTTGGGTGTCAAGACTGGCCTACATTTTTCTAGTCATCTTCCATATTTTCCCCTTAATGTCAATTACCCCCACCCCTGTAATACCAGAAATTTGTGAAATATTTAACTGTAATAAGATTCCATGGTGTACATTTTCAATAAAACATTTAAAAACCTGACATGCTATTTCATAATTTACCCTCCAAATGATTTTATATATATATATATACACAGTATCTCACAGAAGTGAGTACACCCCTCACATTTTTGTAAATATTTTATTATATCTTTTTATGTGACAACACTGAAGAAATGACACTTTGCTACAATGTAAAGTATTGAGTGTACAGCTTGTATAACAGTGTAAATTTGCTGTCCCCTCAAAGTAACTCAACACACAGCCATTAATGTCTAAACCGCTGGCCACAAAAGTGAGTACACCCCTAAGTGAAAATGTCCAAATTGGGCCCAAAGTGTCAATATTTTGTGTGGCCACCATTATTTTCCTGCACTGCCTTAACTCTCTTGGGCATGGAGTTCACCAGAGCTTCACAGGTTGCCACTGGAGTCCTCTTCCACTCCTCCATGACGACATCACGGAGCTGGTGGATGTTAGAGACCTTGAGATGCTCAATAGGGTTTAGGTCTGGAGACATGCTTGGCCAATCCATCACCTTTACCCTCAGCTTCTTTAGCAAGGCAGTGGTCGTCTTGGAGGTGTGTTTGGGGTCGTTATCATGTTGGAATACTGCCCTGCGGCCCAGTCCCCGAAGGGAGGGGATCTATGGAGTTATTTTACAAAAATGTGAGGGGTGTACTCACTTCTGTGAGATACTGTATATATGCACGCACACAGACACACTTATTTTTCCCTAATACAAACATGAGTTCAAATTTAAATAAAATGTAAAATATTATGCATAAAATTATCATAAGTACAGCTATTGTAGGAATTATATGAAGAAAATTTATTGTAAGTCAATTCATTTCACATGCAGTACTGATGAGATAAGAGGAAAATTAAGGATTTAAATGCTACACAATTGTTAGGTATGATGGTGCGTTCAAGTCATGTCGGATAGATCGTATTTAAGAGATGAACGCCACCACAAAGTCGTTATTAGAGTGGGAAACTCGAAATTGTCCGAGTTGGGGGCGTGTCAATGAGAAACATGGCGGAATCGATGGATGCAAGGCGTCTGTAGTTGACGGTACATTTTTGTTTAAATTGATAGTTAATTGGTCAGCAACAAGTACTGTAGAACTGCATGTCTGACAGAGGGAGACCGAGAGATTGCCAAAGTAAAACATAAATCACAATTCACTTATAGGTATTAAGCAGTGACATTGTCAGGCTTTTTATTGACAAAAAATAAGCTTTTTGAATGTGGCAGGATTGTAATATAACAATATGTTTTATGCAGTGGCTTCATAAATTACTTTTTAAAAAATATTAAAAACGCAAAACACACCTGATGCGAATTCTTTGCTCTTCACTTTCTATAAGCAGAGTTAACAGACCCTGTTGTATTTTCTTGTAATTTATTAAAAGAAGGTACACCGCCATCTTGTGCCGACTACCGACTTGAACGCACCTGACGTCGTAATTACGACTTGTCAACTAGTAAGTGCGAACGTCCCATGAGGACTTGAACGCAGCATGACCGTAGACATAGGCTGTGTCTCAACCCCTAGTCAGCTGCGTCTCAAAACCTAGTCAGCTGCCTACTAAGACAGCATTTTGGCGATCAAACGCTTGACTGGAGCCTAGACAGCATAGGTAGGCAGCTCTCTAGCACTAGGCTGTGAAACACGGCCACAGTGTGTCCTGCGCTTCCATCTCTGGCCACCAGAGGCGCTGTCACCATCAGCTATCAGCGCTCCGTCACTGGACTGCACAGTGTCCTTCAGTCCGCGTACAGAAAATAATAATATTTAGATAGTTTTTTGTTTATTGTACTCGATAAAGATGTCTACTACGACCGGTGGCGGAGAGTTCGGAAACCCTCTGCGGAAATTTAAGCTGGTTTTCTTGGGCGAGCAAAGCGGTAAGTGTTGAGATATGTGAGACGTGGACAGAGAAACGGACAGGACAGGCCAGGTGAAAGGATGCTACAGAAGGATACATGTTACCAAATAAACACGAAAATAATTATCTGACAGTTTGGACGGATACGATTATGCACATGCACTTAAAATGCAGTAAAATGTACTGAAAACGGTTGTCATGAACAATACACGAGCAGACATCATGTGGCATTGAACATCCTTGCAGTATCCGAACTAACGTTATATTAGAAAGATACGACATACGATTATTAACTCAATTATGCTTTAACCTACAAAGTGCATGTTATGTGTATGTCTTTCCCCTCAGTGTTTATGTATTCCTGCATGTAGACATCGAAGGAAGCCATCAAGTCCTTGTATTAGCATGCTTGTGTTGTCTGGTCTTAGCCACAACAGAGAGCTTCCATTTTAAAGGCCTTTTATTTGTGATCACATCGATCGTTAGTATTTAACACAAAATGCAAATAAGATTGCGCTACAGCTGTGAATGAACATGTTTCAATGTATAAAACAATACTATCTGTTGTTGTAAGGACGGTCGCTAGCTAGCGGTGAAGTTAGCATGTTTCTAACTAGCCGGCTGTGACAATCAAGATCATGAGATCATAAACCACATCAGGGATGTTTAACTGCCACATCATCCACGTCACATCTACGTTTTCTTTTCATAATGGCTGGATCGTGTGCTGGTTTAGCATTCCTGGTAAAGTTAAATAAAGTAAAATAAAAAAAATCACCCTTATGTTGTTCCAAAAATGAATGACTTACTTACTTCTGTAGAACCAAAAAAGACAGATAGTGAAAGTCAGTAGAAGCCAAAACAACATTGTATTGTATTTGCATTGCATTGTATTGAAAACACTGACATTTTTAAAAAATAAATGATTTCCTTCCAGCTTTAGCATTTTTGCACTGGTTGCTTGTAAAATGTAGGATTTAATTCTTTTGTTTGTGTTTAAGGTTTTTAATGGCATTGCATCACTTTGCCATTAAAAACATAAAAAAAAAAATAAAATAAAAAAAAATATATATAAAATGCTCTTTGTTCCTAAAACTAGATTCCTGCTTAGGGAATTCTGCTATTTTCTAATTTAAACTTCCATATTAAATTTTCCCAAACATTGGATGTTTTTCAATTGTTTTAAGTTTGGA